AGTGAAAAAGCGGAAAAATCTCATCCCTGTAATTTAGAAATTTACAGAAAAATAATTTCCATTTTCACAGGTTATTATAGTATTGCTTTATAACTTCCAAGCGGAACAGCAAGAAGTCCTAAGCTCCACGAGATCTTAATACAGGGTATCTGCTACATTTTAGATTTTCAAATTCAGGACTTTCCATGATTAATTCCAAGAATTTTTCATGACTTAACGAAGTAACTATTTTCGCCGACAAAAACAGAATAATAAATTTAAAAAGCATTATAATAACATTAATTGAAAAGATAGGTAAAACCAAATTTGTTATACTCTGCATCTTCATATTTATTGATTTTAAATTAAAAAAATACAGGAAAGAAAGAGTTGAAGCAATAAAATAGCTGAAAAAATAATAACTGAGCAAATAATTTTTTTTTCTGAAGAATTATAATCTAAAAAAACTTTTCTTGTTGATCAGAAAGGAAAGAAATACACTGATTTTTCTGGTCTCATTTCAGAATTAAAAAAATCTGCTTCAGCTAGAATTTTTAACTGATAAAATAATAAATCAGAAATAATAATAATTCTGAAATCACAGAAGTTTAAAATATACTTCACTATGGAAATGATATTTTTTCTTTCATTTTTTGAAAGAACATAAGAAAAACATTTTATATTTTAATAAAATATGACTGAGTGGGGATTTTGTTACAAATTCAGATTTTCAGAACACCATGAAAAGGGGAGGGGGCTGGGGAATCCCGTTTCAAAAATAAAATTTTGCAACAACCAAAATCCAGGACTTTTTTTTAAAAAATCGTGACAAATTTTTTTCAATACTGAAATTCATGAATTTCCAGGTGAACGGATTTACAGAAAAATAATTTCCATTTTCACAGGTTATTATAGTATTGCAAACATATTATAGTATTTGCATAACAAGCAAAGTAAATTACAATAAATCTGAAGCCTGCCCACCCAGTTCTCTACCCGGTATGGAGTGCAGCAACTAATACCTATATTCCAGTTACTTAAGTTCAGGGGTCTGTCCAGGCTGAATTTACAACCGTTTAACGGTAGTAAAATACTTTTTCTTAAAATTTTATTTTTGTATCCCTTAAGAAACGATAAATCCATATTNACAAATGAAAAGACAGCTATGAAAGGGTGTTTTTTCTAAATATAGGAACTACATTGCTTTTTTAAACAACATACACTCAACTCGTAAGTACCACCTTCCCTGAAGTTACAAAACCATGGCATAGCACAATTAAGTGAAATTTTACTACCTGCCAAAAAATGTCGGTACTAGGATCGCATATTAGGCCCTCCCTAACTTTTCAGATTTTGGCTTGGAAATGCTAAATTCCTTTACAGTTTAGCAATTTTTTGAACAATTTTCGATTTCCATGACTTTTCTAGATAGTTTAACAGCCATGAATATAGTAATATGAAAAAAATTATCTAGGTTACATCATTTGAGAAATAAACAGCACTCAAACTAATCCGGTACTTGATTTGGATTTGAAAATATTGCAGTGCATATTTGTTTACTGGAATTAAAATAATAAAATCTATAGATAACTGAAAAATAAATACCAATTATTTGAACAGATGGATTTGGATTTTAAACATAGAAACAAGCATGCTTAACTAGAATTCATGGGCAAAAATTAAGGAATCAGTGGAAGAACTATTAAGAAAAGTAAACACAAAGGCATGAATTAGGAAAATAATTAGTAACAATGAAGATGGGAGACTGCTGAAAATAAACAATGTATAATTCAGCGATAACACTAAAATACAGATACTGTACAATGTAAAAAATTAATAGACAATAGAAGAATCAATAGAGTTGATAACTGTATTACTAGCTCTCAAAAAGAAAAATTCACAGAACAAAACAAAAAAAAAATTTATACCATAACACATTATTACACGAAAAAATTTAACTCTTGAGTATATGTAATGCCGATCATCAAAATCCTCACTCAAAATAATTGTATACAAAAATTACACATTTGACTAGGAAAGGGTTTAACAGAGAAAAAAAATTTCTGACATTGGAAAAATTTTAAGTCGCACGACAAAAAGGTCATCCTTTTCTAGGTATTCAACAAGATTTTATCGTCATTATAGTTGTCGGTAAATTGGTCTAAAAAGCAGGGGGAAAAAAACCTTTTAAGAAAGAAACATCACAACACAAAATGAAGATTTAGTAAAACATTCATTGAATGCGGGATTTTTGTAAGGAACAATCTTCAGAATTATATAATTTAAATCTCAATAACTAATAGCAAAACTCACTTTCCAACCTTCTATAAAAAATTTAATTTTCCGAGACATTAAAGAGCAAAAATAAATTTCTTTGAGAATGCCAAGTTTTCCCATTAAGCATGGCAAAATTTATTATAATAAATAGAAAAATCACCTAAAGCCTTTCTTTCATTGGTTTTCAACTGCACCTCTTCAGCCTCGTCAAGCACTAAATTCATGTATTCATCAAAACCCTGAAATTAATGCACGAATTAATTACAAAAACTTTTTTTCAGAAAATAAACACTTATTACAGTAGAAATCTACTCACAATGATGCATCCCTCTATGCGAGAATTTACATTTTCATACAGCCAAACCTGAATACGGCTTTTCTAAAAATAAAAATATCACTAATGATTAGTGCATGAATAATTATATTCTATCAACTGAAAAAAAATGTAATACAAAATTATTTTTTTTCTTATTTTGTGTACACAACTACAAATTTCATTAAATTTATGTTTGGGTAAGACAATTTTATTCCAATAATAATAAACATAAATAGTGAAATGTCAGTAAACATGTGGTTTGAAAGGTAAAAAAAATTCAAAATATTATAATAAAAATCGTTATAAAGCACTTACCTTGTGAACAATTTAATAATATACAAACACTTGTATGTACAGAACGCTTGGCTTGCAACAAAAACGAAGAATAAGAAACAAATGAAAAGACAGCTATAAAAGGGTGTTTTTTCTAAATATAGGAACTACATTGCTTTTTTAAACAACATACAGTCAACTCGTAAGTACCACCTTCCATTTGTGTGATCTATTATAACAACTGCTACATGAAGTCAACTTTACAGTTCTATATACCTAATATTATTTAAACACCCATTATTAAAAAGGAGAAAATTAAGCACTTCTTACAGCCTATATGTATAAAGTATCTTTAAGGGCTCTCAAAAGAGGAAATAAAAAATAAGCACTTTTAAAAAATGCTATGTACTCTGGTTGTAAGAGAGATGATTTATTTTGGAGTTAAAACATGTCTTGACACTCACAATATTATTTTATTTCAGTTTTGCTCCTTTTTCTTTGGACATACGCTATTTAGCAAAAGTGGCTGTTGAATAATACAAACACACGTTTAAAAAAATAAAAATTATGATGTAATTCAATAGGCAAAAGAGCAAAGTGTTGAATTTCAAAAAAAGATAAAAATTGAATATAAATATCCACAATTTGGTCTTCAATTACATTTTGAGAACAAGCATTAATAGCCTTGTAATGACGGCAAACAAATCATTTTGACAACAGAGGCATCGGGATAAGAAGTCATAGGGACCTCTAAAAAATTTCTCGATTTCAAACAATTCTGCAGAAGCGAATTTACTTCAATATAGTAGAGCGCCGATTACCCGAACTGCTCAGGACCGAACATGGTTCGGATAATTGGAAAGTTGTTTAAAATCTAGTGTAAATGATTATTATTTATGAATTAACTTCCCTTCACACCTTTTGTAGGCTTAGGACTGGCAGTACTATCTAAAACAGCTCTGGCGTGTTTAAATTTTTTTTCCTTTTTCAATTTTTAAATATTTTTAATTAAATTTTTTTAAACTTCCTTTTTTTCATTTTGAATTATTTTTATAATACTTCAGTTTTTTATAGTTTTTTTGTCAATTACTGATTTTAAAACATTTTTCATTATTTTCCATTGCAAAAGAAATCCAGCAAAGATATCAGTTCAAAGCCTAGTTTTTTTTCAGCAACCATTTATCCCTTATTCTTTTTAAATAAATCAACTGAACTGGATCAACACTATTTTGACGATCTAGCCAATTCATTGCGAAATCTAATGGATTGACTGCTTCTATATGAGAGTGTCCATTATCTTGAACTTGATCACCTACTTCTTTCACTTCGTATGTAGAGTTCCGATTTTCATTCACAATTTCAGCAACAATTTCGCCATTTTCATCCGAAAGATCTACTGGTTCAGAAACTTCAGTTTCGTTTGTTTTTCTGTTAAGAATTTTATTCCAAGATTTAAGATTCCAAGCACCGTATTCACTAATTATTAACCATATGTTACAACTACCCATTCCCAGGGTTGGCAGGTTTTTGACATGTGACAGTTTTTGAAAGTTTAAACCATGGTTTAAACCGTCACGTCAAAAACCTCACTGTCAAAAATGTCGNTCATTATTTTCCATTGCAAAAGAAATCCAGCAAAGATATCAGTTCAAAGCCTAGTTTTTTTTCAGCAACCATTTATCCCTCATTCTTTTTAAATAAATCAACTGAACTGGATCAACACTATTTTGACGTTCTAGCCAATTCATTGCGAAATCTAATGGATTGACTGCTTCTATATGAGAAGGTCCATTATCTTGAACTTGATCACCTACTTCTTTCACTTCGTATGCAGAGTTCCGATTTTCATTCACAATTTCGCCATTTTCATCCGAAAGATCTACTGGTTCAGAAACTTCAGTTTCGTTTGTTTTTCAGTTAAGAATTTTATTCCAAGATTTAAGATTCCAAGCACCGTATTCACTAATTATTAACCATATGTTACAACTACCAATTGCCCAATTATAGAACTTATCAATTCATAAACTCCTTCTGCATTCCAACCATTGTAGACTATCAAAATGAAGCTTGCATTCTTGGAAGATAATTTTCTGTTGTAAAGGGCTAAAGGGGTATGTAGGTTTAACTGCATCACAATACATGTATGTACGGCTACTATAAGAAAACTGCTAAAAAGGTTGTAAATTAAATATGGTCTTCAGATGTGGGGGGTATTATTTATTCTTCTCAATTTAGAAAAATTTTCAATAGGTTAAAAAATATTCCAAACTTTAAAAAAAAAAAAAACGAATTCAGACACAATTTGGATAATTGGACGTTCGGATAATCGACGCTCTACTGTATTCTTTTCAAATAAAAATACAAAAATCACGAAATTTTCCTTCTCCTCTTCCTTTTCTTCTATATCAAGCATAGTCTACAAAAAACTACAGTCTTCTTTTTTTTTAATTTGAAACTCTGCAGGTTCAAGTTCAGAAATAATATTATTTCTGTTATTGAAAACGAAAGTATGACAAAGAAGCTATCGAAAACTTAATACTGAAAGCAAAACAAAAATATGCACAATCAACTAAGAAGGCAGTTCAGGAAGTCATGAAGGTAATGTGCATTTTTTTTTTTTTTTACATTTGTATTGAGAACACTATTAGATAATTTAAGATTAGAAAGTTAATTTGCATAAAAATAAAAGTAGAATAAAGAAAATACATAACTTGGGAGAAAAAAAAGAGGGGGTCAAAACATGTAACAGCAAGTCAAATACCTTCATATAGATTGCTGGTGTGAATGAAAGTTCAGAGGTTACAGATCAGCATAGTATATCAGCCCTGTTCTTAATAAAGAATAGTGTTCCACCCTATTTATAAAACTAGAGCTTATTCTAGCCAGAAAAAAGGGCAGGGGGCAAAAGTNCCACCTGACCGGAACATATGCTCCCGCACCCCAGAGCCCAAGGTCAAGAAAACTGAGATGGGCACAGTCGGCCTTGGCCCTCTTAATGGGCTGTCGCGCCACTGAGTTAGAGTTAGTTAAAAGTAGCAAAGCAATCACATTAATTACTCATTTTTATTAATAAATTAAAATATTGAGTTAATGAGCTAATTAGCTTAGTAATTTATTTAAAATGCATGCATATATTAATAAAATAATAAATGTATTTTTTAAGTGTCTGTAGTTATGATTTAATAATCAAAATGATTAATAATAAATATGATTCAATGATAGTGGAAGTAACTGCAAACTTTCAAAGACAAGTGCAACAAGGTGTGATGGCTATTTTCCCTATAAATCATTGACAGCAACGACAAACTAAATAAAAACAGTTGAAAATAACAAAAGTTTAAAAAATCCATTATGGAGTTCTTGGGGGGAAATAAAGAAGAGTTGAGGAAAGAAAGGGCAAAAAGGAAAGGAAAGAAAGGGCACTAATTAACTTCAGGGGCAGCAGGGTGGATTCTTCAGACTAAAAGGGCAGCAGGCTGCTGCAACGTCTTTACCCTGCCTAGAATGAGCTCTGCTATGGGTCCTTGGAGCATCCCACAAGCAAACCTCTAAATCTTATTTTTTAAATTCTTAAGTTTAAAAACTTTTAGCAACTCTAGTTGTTGTGACAATTCACGATACGAAAATATCACTATGGGATGTGTCCGTAATGTGATCTGTAGCAGCAACTACAAATGCAAATTTGAGTTTAAACATCTAATTTAATATAAAAAATAAACCACATACAGGTTTGCAAAGGGATGGCTGTGAATTAAACCCTTAAATTTAGTCCCCTACTGTGATAGTTTTAATTTCTTTCAGGCCACTGCCAGGAAGTTGTTAAGGCTTGGCAATTATTCTGAAACAAATCACAATACGGAAATTTTCCCTATCCCCGAAATTGAGCTTCTTTTAAAAGTCAGGATATAAGAATACAGTGTCAACTTCTTTAACAATTTATTCTTTTCGAATTACTCCATATAATATCTCATTTTATAAATAGCAATATCATACATTAGAAATCCTTTAATGATAATAAAAACTACTTTTCATTCAATTTTATGCGGAATAGCCAATTTAACTTATAAGACACTTTTGCTTTCTGACAGAATAAGTGAAAAAACCTAAAAATCACACATAAAGCTATTTTGAAGAGTAATACGAGGATACAATTCTTACTGAGAGAAAAAACCTAGCTCATTCAAGCAAGTTATTTTTTTAAATAGATATTTCAAAACATATGGTATGAGTTAAAACAAAAATGCTGATATATATAAGAATTATTTTCCTTTGACAAAAGCCTTAAAGGCATATTCAAAAATTAACCCAGAGTTCAGAGATAGTCCTTCCATAGTTGAAAATCCTCCTACTTCTTATTTCGAAAAAACCTTTATAAATATATTCAACTGCTATTAAAATTTTAAGAAAAGAACACAAAAAAATATGAAACCTTCTTATGAAGAACGTAACTCAATAACTCAAACTAAAGCTGAACAGCAAAAATACCAAGAAAAAAAATTTGCATTAAACAAATACGAAGATTAATATACAGACATATATTAGAAATTTCAACTCAAACTATTCAATACACACTAGGACTACTTACGTTCTGCAAAAATCTGAAGATGAGATTGATGGGTTGTACCATCACCTTTTGAACTTTCTGAGGCTTGTAGGTTGACGACATTGTTCCAAATTTGATAGTAAAATACACTACAAATTGATAATGTTATTAAAAATTACGTTACGATTAAGTTTCACGAGGAAAGAACAATAGCAGGAAAAATACTAAAATGGGGAATCTAGCGGCTTCTAACCGGTAACGTCTATTATAAAACGGGCAGAAACGAGCAGTATGAGCGTCTTAGACCAACCTAATTTCTGGAGTGAAACCATGCTTTGAACTTGCATAGAAAACTATGAGAGAGAGGTGATGACTGGGAAGATGGCGTCATCATCGGTAAGAAATGGATGGGTGATCGTGTAAAGCTAAGGGTGGTGGCGCTAGTGGTAAAATTGCTCTTTCAAGATTTCCGGGTAACTGCTTCCGATATATTTTTGCGCCGCAGATTGAAGAAACGCGCCATCATATTATTGCATCATATCTTTCACAGTATTTCACATGTACCGAGTTCTTTCTTTCAGCCTTTAAACTTCAGCATTATCATATGAATATTATAATCATTAGAATATTTTCTAATTAGGCTAACTTAAAAATATATATTTAAAGATATTTTTGGCGACATTTTATTCAAATGTAGCCAAATAAGGGATAAAATGCAAAACATGGCAAACCTTAAGAATTATTCACAATCAGATGTCAACTTTCCAAAAATTTTTTTGACCGTACGACCTCTGAGAATCAATACATTTCTGAAAGCTCTTATGAATGGTACAATTCAGATTTGAATCCAAATTACAATAACAAAACTGCATAGAATATTAGGCTTGTTCACACATCGCCTCGTAGTCATAACATAAGCGGAGGGATACACCGGAAATTTTCTAAATTTCTTCCGGTTTAAGGACGTTTGTTATTGTTTACATTAGACCACCCATCCATAAACTAAAGAATAAAAAATAAAGTTTATTAGAGTAGTAGTAGTTAATTTACGTCGCACTAGAGCTGCACCATGGGCTATTGGCGACGGTCTGGAAAACATCCGTGAGGATGATCCGAGAACAAGCCATCACAATTTTGATCCTTTGCAGAGGGGGTGGCACCCCTACTTCGGTAGCCCAACGACCTGCACGTGAAGTCGAGCACTTTACGGTAGAACAGTTCATCGAGGACCAATACCACACACCCTCGGTCCCTACGCAGACTACTCCAAGTGGTCACCTACCCGCACACTGACCGCAGCCAGTGATGCTTGACTTCGGTGATCTGCTGGGAACCGTGTCTTAACGATCAGTCCACTGCGGGACATTTATTGGATTAAAAAAAATGTCAGTGCACTTAAAACTCATGCAAAACTAATGCACTTAAAAAAATACCTTAAAATGGTGTAAAGAATATTATACCCTACAATTCAAATTTTTTCAACCATTAATTAATAAAATAAAAAAGTACCAATTATTTACCAAAAATTCCTTTTTGCATAGAATTTTCTTTGGATAAACGAATTTTATAACTGTGTGCAAAATTTTTTCAATTAAATTAAAAAGTTCTTGAGATGTAACGAAATACGCAAAAAGTAAAATTAACATTAAGGGGTCTAAACCTAAGGATCGTTCTCCTGACCAAATTACTGGGATTATTTTTCACAGATTGAGGCTATCCCCTATATTTTGGAGGTCTAAAATTTGAATCCGTTGAAGGAAAGGTATGTTTATTCAGAAAAAGTAAGTTTTTGTGTCTAATTTCCTAACTTAAAATATCGTCTACACTTATTAATTAGCATATTTCAGGTCACTCCCTTGACCCATTAAGATTGAGTCATGGAACGTAAAGATTAGATCAAAGTTTTTCAGGGTGGTCCGTTTTTTATTTTTATTTGGTGCATTGCACAAATGTATTTTTAAAAGATGGGTGAGTTTATATCTAACACAGATATTTAAATATCGTTTGCAGGTTCATGAAAGATTTAAGAAAACTGAGCTATCCACACAAGAAATATGAATCCTGGAAAATCAGTACAACTGAAAAATTACATTTCATCATATGACTGTATTTTATTTTATATCCGTCATTAAACAGCTGACCCAATTTTGGGTTTACGACTACCAATGCTCAAGTCCGTAGCCTTGTAATTTTGAACCAATTCAGAAGACAAGAAAACTCCTTGATCCACCAGAGGTATTGATTTGTTATGGGAACATGGAGGAATTTGCGACTCAAAAAATTTAACGATTAATTTACTACACGGGGAGCCTTCGACTGGCTGGGATCGATCCCATGAACTTTTGGATATGGCCCCATATGACTGTATTGAGAAAATTTCATATTAAGCTATGTACCTTAAAAGGGAGAAGTTGTTACTATTTTTGTAAAAACTCTTATTCATTAATAACTAACGCTCTTATTTATGTTTTTATTTCATAATCCCTATAAGCAAAGTATGAAAGCTTCACCAAATAAATTTCCTTTTTCTTTTAAAAAACTGTTAGTTTTTGGAAAATGATGGGTATGATATTCCACATTTCTTTAAAGATGTCATTCTACAGGTATTCATAAAAAATTTTACAAGCTATACAACTCGTTTAAATAAATTATCTGTACAGTGTATAAACACAAACATTATACAGTTTTTGAGCTAATGAGATGCTGCCTTTATGGTTTGAGAGGAGTACTTAGTTAATTACTACATTAAATGTTTTATTATTATCAGGGGTCTGTCAAGGTTTTTATGAGAGGTACCTATTTCATGAAAATTTAGATATAATTTGTGAAAATTAAAAACTATATTAAAAAATCAACACAAAAATATGGTAAAGTAAGAAGATATTTTCAAAAATTGTCACTAGAAATAAAAATCATTTATGAATGGTAAATTTTTATATATTTTTTGTCATATATTCAAAAACAATTTTGCTATTGTAAAATTTTGGGCTTAAAAATTGTATCCAAATTTAAAAATTCATTGTCAACAGTTAAATTTCAACTTGAATTTAAAAAAAAAAAACATTCATTTAGCAGTACTTGCACTGAAAGTTATTTTCTTTATGAGAACATTTCCCACAGGGTCATATAAAAACAAGTTTCAGAGAAAAAATTTTCATAAAAAAAATAAAGGTCTGTTTGAATAAATTTAAAACAATGTTTGAATGTTTAGAATAATGTTCGAATTTCAACTTCCCGTGTGATGTTTACAGAGGGAGCACCTTGCTGTTTAATTAAAAAAAAAAAAAAAAACTCGAAGAAAAAAAGCTTGCTATAACACAGCGTAAGCGACCGTTTAGACTTACAACACTGCACTATCTGTCAAAGCACAAACTACTTTTTCTTATTGGGAGATACAGATACAAAATTTTAAGAGGCTGGAAAGAGAATCGGTAGTAAATTTACCCTGAACAGACCCCTGATTATTTTTATTTATTATTTTCTTTTAACGTTCTCAGATAAAACTTTAAGATAATGGTTGCTTTTGTATATAGGTCCATTTTAAAACAATAAAGGAATTTTTGAAGATTATCTCAATAAAGTTTTAAAAAAATTAAACCGATGACACAATTCAGTAAATTTCCTAACCTATAATCTCAATAATACAGAATAGAAATTGGACAAACTGTTTCTAAGATCTTGGTGGGACAAGTGGGATTTAAAAGTAGTCTCAAGAAGAAAACAGAGGAAAAAAACAATTAAAAGAATTCATTTTTTTTCTTAAAAAATCTTACAATTATTTTAAAGATAGTGTTTGGAAACTTAAAAATTTTTTTTTTCAAATGAAACAATGTTTTTCTTCTTTAGTGTTTGGAAATTTAAAAGATTTTTTTCAAATGAAACAATGTTTTCATGTATATTTTATTTATTTATTGTTTAATAAGTTTAATTTGTCCATCATTCCATAACAGTAACTTAAGTAAGACAATATTTTGAAGAGTAATAATATCATTAAACTGGTTTGAAAAACACTTTTTTCTGATTAAAAGCACCTTATTTATTGACCTTGCCTTATTTATTGACCTTGCCTTACTAATTAGGTAAACAATCAGCTGTTCAATATTCATAATACGAAATTAATTAACATTTATTTAAAAGTTGTTCATCATGGTATTAATTGGCATTCAAATTAACAACTGCATATGACATGCAATTAATCACTCATTAACATGTTCTGTTTATAACTTGCAATTGTATTCTAACTAACAACAGTTTACAACATGGTATTAATTGGTGTTCTCATTAACAATTATTTATACCATGTTCTTGAATTAAAAACTTCGACTATTTTAAAAGAGTGCTTAATATATTCCTTAATTTTTTTCCCATTCATTAAAACCATTTCCAATCATCATTTATAACATTTCCAATTATCATTTATCAATTATAACATCCATTTTAGATTTAGGAAAACTGTCTTTTCCAGAAACGAAACAAATTGAAAAAGATTTATTTTAAGAAGATTTAAAGCAGAGAGGTATTATAATACAATATTTTATTTTGTCATTTTTACATAAATTATAATAACTTACAAATTTTCACACATTCATTTTTGCAACACATTTTTCAAGACTTTCAGATATTTAATCTATAATAAGTAATAAATGGACATTGAGTTTCACACAAAAAATTCAGTAGAAATATTCATGATTTAATTGATCGATTTTTATTTAACAATTATTTTTTTACTGTTTCACATAAAGCATCATAGTAAATTCTTCAATGATTTTGTGACCAACAAATGCAGTGTTATGTTTCTGTATGGATCAGCAGTCTTTACAACATTATGAAACAAAAATATTTAGATTTTAGGAGTTGTTTGGATCAATAAATTAGCTATGCTTTTACTGAAAATTTTTAAAACAGGAAGAAGAATAAACAAAGATACAAACTAAAATAAATTACTAATTTCACAATTTTGCAACAAAAAGAAATTTTTGGAGTCAAGTTGTATCGTAATATTTTACAAAATCAGTTAATAATAATGGTATGTTTAATAATATACAGGTTTGATCAATAGGAAGCATACTGTAAATGTTTTATAGTTTTTTTTTGCAATACTTGAACCCTTTTTCCTATGCAGTTTTATGTGATGGCTGTTCCTACTTCTGATCTCATTGGTCTCTTTGAACCTAGACTACATGACATATACTGAGAGTGGACAGAAGTTCTTGTATTTTTTAAGAATATTGGAAAGGTATTTAAATTGTTTACTTCAAATCTGTAAAAGAAAAACATTACAGTAAAATATTGGGGAATAATATTGTGGATGTTGAGAATCCTGCAATGACACAAGTTAATTCATTAAACTAAGTTGTAGTTTATTTACGTCGCACTAGAGCTGCACAATGGGCTATTGGCGACGGTCTGGGAAACATCCCTGAGGATGATCCGAAGACATGCCATCACAATTTTGATCCTCTGCAGAGGGGATGGCATCCCCGCTTCGGTAGCCCGACGACCTGCACGCGAAGTCGAGCACTTTACGGTAGAACAGTTTAACGAGGATCAATACCGCACACCCTCGGTCCCTACACAGACAGATTCAATTCATTAAACTAACACACTTCTCCCTATCACTGTGAGATATTTTTATCGCACAATTTTTATAAAGTATACTTAAATGTTTAACATTGTCATTGCATTAAACATAAATGTTTAAAAAATTTTCTGAGTTTACTAATTTTTATTTTTAAATGAAAAAAATTACATACAAATCTTTGAAAAAGATATGTCCATTTCTTCAGATGATGAGAGAATATTGATATTTTGTTGGGATTTTCCCATCCACTCTTAATAAGTTTTTAAAGTCGAACATTTGTCCTCAACTTGAACTATAATACAGGAATCTATTATATTGCAATTATTTAACACTTTTTTGTAGCAAAATGAAAAATATGAAGAATTTTTTAGCGCATTTTCTGACATTGATATTATACGAATCTTGATGATAATTTTTCTAAATTTCCGCCATTAAGAATAAGACACATTTAAGAAAGATAGGTTTTAACAAACTTTTAAAAACATTTCTTATAATAGTAATATAAACTTGTTTTGCATTTTTTCATCCTAAAAGAAATAAGACTAACGTCAAAATGTTACACTTTTTATTAGAAATTATTAAAAAAAATGGTATTTAAATCATAAAAGCAAATCTGTATAATATTGACGAAGGAAGAACACCATTCAGAAAGAATTTTTTAGTATCTTATAAACAAAAAAGAATCACAGTTCCCTTATTTACCCTGCAGTCAAAAAAAAATTTTAACGATGAAAAATTATTTTATATTTTTATTTTTACATTGTTAAACATTTTCAGCGTTACTCATAATGAAAAACGAAAAACAATCAAATTTCTTTAACTCTTAGGACAATCTTATAGAGATGGAAAAGAAATTCTTTCTTTCTCATTTCTTGACGCCACATTTTTCCCACTATGACATCTTTACATTTGACTTTCAGGCATGCTGGTACGTGTAACAATCAAATAAAGTTTTATAAAAATTAAAATATTTTTTTTTAAATTGGTGATTGTTAAATTTTGCCAAAATGGTTGAAACTAGTGTGGAGTAAGGAGTTATCAACAATGTCAACCTTCATCTATGAAAAGGCACTCCAACATAGAATTGAGTTAACCTGTCTTAGATACTAGTGAATTGGAATTATATTTTTGTAGTGGTAGATACACTATAGTACTCCACCAGAATTTTATGTGTGGTAGAATTGGACGAACGGGTACCACTAGTTGATTCATTGTTTTTTGTGAGAAGCCGGGATCACCGTATTTTTTGAGTGCTGATCGTGAAATGTCTAGTATGTTCATGGTCATAGTCGCTCCTGTGTTGCCCTTAGCAGTCGAGTGTGTGTGTGATCCAGACTGAGAAGCAATAGTGTGAGGAGGACAATGTCGCAATCACAAGCAGCAAGTCAACTGTTCAATGTGGACCATCCATCGAAGTAGACGTGTTTAAATCGTAGTGGGCGTTTCCATCAAGGGCTTAAAAATTTAACACAGAAATTTGCATTCACACAATTTTACATTAAATCATACGAGATTCATATCGCACAATTTCAAAATCACACATTGAGATTCATGTAATTTAAACAAATAAACTCACATCGACATTTTTATTAAAACATTGACAGCATTCTGTAGATAAATTCTTCCAACATTTCTGGTAGTTTTTCAGCTATTCAAAAAGTGTTTTTGCATATTATAACTTTTTTGAATTTCTATTTAAAACTTTTTTTTTTATCAAACTTATCCCTGTGGTATAAATTAATATGGAGTAATAAAAACTAAAACATTTTTTGCATTCTGTTATTTGCACCTAAATTTCGTCAAAATAAGATGGCGAAGAGAGGGTTGAAACTAGTTACAAGAGTTAATTGCCAGCAGAAGTTTTTTTTAACTGCAATTTTGTGTTTGCATACAGTTTTTCATTTCATCTAAGTCTACAGGACATGCAGTGTGTTGTCCTTTTTAAAATAGATATTTCTACAAAGAAAAAACAGTATTTTTGATGTATTTATACTGCAAAATTAACTCATTTCTTCATTTTAGAACCCAAGAAAGTTATTAAGATGGTTGTATGGTAGTTATATTTTATCTTTTTCTTTTTACTCTGCATTTTAAACAGAAGATGGAAGTTTCTTATTGTTCAAATCTGGCAATAAACTCTAGCATCAAGAAAATAGCCTTCTGAATTTTACAGAAAAATTTCACTTTCAGACAACACTAAATCAATGTGACTGCATGTAGAGAATCAAATTAACATAAAATATAATAATTTTTAATTGCAAAAAAATATTACCATGCCTCTTTAAATGGAATCACATTTGAACCTGAGCAAGAACAACATCTCTAATGCCATCTGTCTGAAATAAAAAATAATAATTTTTAATAATCCTTTTTTTTTAATTTTTTTTTTTTAGAAAATTATAAACAGAATTTTGAATACTTTTTGGAGAAGCTTGTCAACAAAAGTTTGTTAATATTATGGATTAAAATGATCCTTTATTAATAAGTTAAGTTTTTTGATATCCAATTTATTAGAACTATTATACAAATATAGAAAAGTTACTCTTAATTCACAATTCATTATTACTCTTTGGTTTACATTTCATATTATAATGCAAAGTTTGAAACACAAACAATTATTTATTTAGTTTTTATTTTGATGAGCTTTACAAATAATTATATTGAGTTGTATAGGTGAGAAATTCTATAAATTTTCTATAATTTTTTTTTCCAATTTTGCCCAGAAAAATAGCAAAGCATGTGAACATTTAGTCAAAATTAATTTGTTTAATGATTTAAATATCATTTAATTAAGTTTTCCGACAAAATTTGTAAAATAAACAATTATAACTTGCGTTTACCTCCTTTGAATATGAACCAATCTGTTTTTCCTTCAGCTGAATTGATAACAAATGATTTTCTCATATAGTGATTTATTTACGAAGTGAACCTTATTCTAGATAATTAAGTCTGAGGACAATATTTTGACTGAAATGTACTCATTTAAGAAGTTCTTCCTCACAGGATGTCTGTTTTTTTTTTCCATTTCTAAAAAAACAATTTAGTCAAGAATAACAAAATTATAGTTACTCTTGCACTAAAAAAATTACTACCTAAAAAATCTCTTTATTTGTCTTTTTGTGTTAGATATTGTAAAACAATATTTTTAAAGCTGTGAAAAATCTAAAAACTAAATTAAATTCATTTAGAACTTAAACTTAAATATCAAGAGGAAGCTGCCTTATAACTAAATTCAAATACCAAAAAATTATAATAATTAGTGATATTAAACACTATCTTTTAATAACTACTTTAAAATTTGAAATATATTAGGAATTTTTTAATCCTAATGTTCTTATATTTATGTAAGCTGAAAGTTTTTTAAAAAAAAATTTACCAATTTTTTACTCTCACATGAAATGTTAATTTAAATTACACTTAAATATTGAGGGAAATCTACCTTATAACTAAAATAAAATACCATAAAAATTACATTAATTTGCGAAATTAAACACTATATTTTAATAACTGCTTTAGAATTTGGAATATATTAGGCTTAGTATTAAGCTTTTATATTTATGCACACTTGAGGTTTAATAGAAGTTTCATTTGATACCAATTGTTTACTCTCAAATGAAATGTTAATTCAAATTACATCAGAATATATAGGCTATATTCATACATATATAGTTGGCATATTGAGACTTTTCACTGATGGTTAGAATTGTAAGGCAAATAATAAAAAATACTAATGATTTATTAAATTATTAATAAAAAACACAGGATGAAGTTTAATTTCTTATGCCCAAAACATTTTGCATAAATAAGTACTATTGAAATTTTCAACTTATCTTTTTTTGTTATATTTTTATGTATTTTTAAGATAAGTATGTTCACTTACTGAAAATTGCCTTAAATATTTCTGTAGTAGTAATGCATGAAATATTCACATTTTTTTTTACCAAGTTTTATTTTAAGAAATTATAAGTCAAACTTCCGCAACTTAAAGACATAAAAATATATTTTAAATGCTGTCATTATATAATTCATAGTCATTACATAAATCATTATATGTCTATCATCACATATTAATAGTCATTATATAAATCATAGCATTGATTGTTTTCATCACTGGAATGCTATATATAACACAGCTATTTAACATATATCTTATAAGGAATTCCATTTAGCTGCAATATTAGACATTTGATACATGATATCAGAGCATATTTTCTTTATATTAATTTATTAAATAGCCATCAATAAAATAAATTTAAATATATGTATATTAATTTTGAATGGTAAAAATATAAAGAACACAAAGACTAGCTTTTTAAAAAAAAATCAAAACAAGGTTTTTATTCATTTTTCTTCTTCAAATAAAAATAAGCTCATCTGATTTTATTTTTCAGAAAAGACCATTTTTGAAACCTTGTCAATGATTCAATTAAAAAAATTTCAAACAATAAGAAAGAAGAGCTCAAGAAAGAAGTTTAAGAAGTCTGTCATAATTCTTAATCCAAAAGTGATTCTTTATGGTTTGGAAATATTTTAAGTTTACTAATATATAATAATTATAAAATTCATATATGTAAATAAATTGACGGAAAACATGAACAAATGATAAAAATAATGAATTTATTTTTGTTGCTATAAACAAGGCATTGGAACCAATCAGTGAAAGTTCGATATCTCTCATATATCTGTATTGTACTGTTAAGTGTCAATGTTTGCAGAAATTACAGAAAATCTGGCAATGATTATATAAAAAGTGAGTTGATTTTATCGTTAATACTATTATTTTTGGCTTGAAAAAACATAAATAATTAGTGATGTCTTTTATTGTTTATTATCAGTGCAAATTATCTCTAAAAATTTTATTATCTTCAAAAATTACTTGTGTAAAACTTTCTGTAGACAGAGTTCCACTTAAAATAAAACAGAGATACTGTGCCTGGTGATCGAAATATGATTTCTGGCAAATTGACAATTTCCTGAATCAAACAGATTGAATAATTGTCAAGGCTGTGTCGGTTTACAAAATGTAATTATTATTTTATTCCTTAGCATAAAAATACATATAATATATATATCATAGCTGCCAACAAGGATAGGAAAACTCCAGTAGATTTTACGAAATAATATAAAGTTCATCATAATTGTTACATAATATACTAAATATTTACACACAGGGATTTTTATAGTAATCAAAATAGAAAAATTGCAATATTTTTCACATTACGATTGACAATAAAATTACTTGAAATGTTATGCATTATGTATACTCATAATTTCGAATATTAAAAGGCATTTAATTTATCAAAGATAGTTAAAAAAGTTTTTTAAAATTAAATTAAAAAGAGAGTTCTGAATAAAAATAAACTGAACATCTTATAACAAAAAAGTAAAACAATGTAACATAAAAGGCTTCAATTAATCTTTTTATGTTATTCCTTTTCTGTAATTCCTTTTTTTAATTTACTATTCAAAACGAAATGCTTTCTCACACTTTTAAATTCACATCCTGTCCTTTAATCTATTATTTATTCTGTTTATCGTCATTTTTTGGTTGAAGTATGCATTAATTAAAAGTAAGACATTTTTCCCTTTGCTCTTTGTGGGAATAGCATGACCTATTTAATAAATTAATTACAATTACCATTAAGATTTCCCTCATTTCCTAAAACAAGACATTTTACAAATTGTCTTTGCAAGATATTCAATAACTCTTATGAAGCAACACGACAATTTTGTGCCACTCTCTCTCTCTTGTCCATCATCACATAATGATTAAATAAAATTAATTTTCTCTCTTTAAAATCCTGTGCCTGTTTGTTCTGCTAGCNTTGTTTTATTCTTCATTTTGAACTTATCTAATGAGTGCTGTTTACTTGCAGCTTAAGCGCAATAAATGTTACTTATTGTTTTTCTTAACTTTCTTAGTGTTTTCTTGTATTTATTTATTTATTTATTTATATATATTTATAATGTATTTGTAAACAGAAAAGCATAATTAAAATACTAACTGTAATAGCAAACATGGCTTCCGCTTCCTCTAATGCATTGGATTTCAAAATGTGAGCGCGTCTCTCATTCTCTGTCCAAGACAGCAGTAGGCGTGTGGTGCAGGCATGTCCCCAACTTTCTCCCAAAGCTGGAATCAATTGAGAAGTCCCATCATCTTTGACTTTAGTGGTCATCTGATTAGTAAGAACAACCTGAAAAACGAATCTGACATTAAATAGTCGCCGAGCTGAGAAAATTGATTATTATGATGGAAATTTTTTAGAAAAAAAGTGCAGTAATTATTTAAAAAAACAAGAGATATGGGGAGATGAATGAGAGAATTGATATCAGGGGGAGTTATTTCATATTGATAGAGCAAGGGGAGCTTGACTTTTGGCATCAATATAAATTTAGAGTTGCTACCATTTAAATCATATAACATTTTATTAAAAATATGCATCTTAATTTACTTAAATTTCAAACTGCGAAAAATATTTTATAAATGGTATAAATCGTCTTAGAAACTTGTACTAATAGTTCATAATTACAAATGAGTTTTTATTACAAAATATAATAACCTGGAATATTTTTTAATAACATTGTTGTAAAAATCATTAAGTAATAATAATGATGCATACAACATATTGTAAAAAATTTAAATGCATTAATACTCAAGTCATTATTTGTAGGGCAAAAGAACAAAATTTTAAAAAATAGACACAAAATAAAATTAATCATTAAGAACAATATTGTTTAAGAGCAAATGGGTGTCAAACTAATGATCACTATTTCTATTGACATTCCTTTAGTAAAAGAATATAATTGACAATTAAATGAAAATAAGAAATCAGATGTAGAATGAATAAAATACTGCTTTCTACTAAAATAAGCAGTAATAACTCCCCTTTCCATTTGTCAGGAGCATTAGAGTATAGTTATGAGGTTCAACTATCTTAAGCAGGAGTGCTGGTAAATTTTTAAGACAGTTTTGGCTCATACAGGTAAGAAAAAAGAATACTGGGAGAGAAAAACTCCCCTCTTTGAAATACGCAATTTTTTTTTCTTCATAGCAGTGGATGGCTTTAGACTTCATGACAAGGGGAGTTCTTTCTAAAGACAAATTATATGAATTCTTAAACATACATGTTTACAGATTTAAATATAAATTTTCTTGCTGAGTACGAAGAATAGCTGAAACAAACTGAGCTATAAGTTAAGCAGAAATGGAAGGCTGAAAGAGAAGAATTCACACAAACGGTTGGATATTTTTATTTTAATTATGTTTGTTAAGTTATTCAGGTTAAATAATAATTTAGAACAATGTTTTAAATTTAAAGATGCTTCATAATTTAATGAAAAAGATACGCGTTTTATAAACGAATATCAACCAGCTATACTTTCTTTTTCCAAGATTTTCTGTTAGTTTTATTCCATTTAAAACAAAGTTGTTATAAATTTATGTAAAAATAAAGAACATGTTATGTACCCAAGCAGTGAAACACTTATAAATTAAATTGAGTAATTATTTTAAGACTTCATATATACAAAGCCAGAATATATCGTACAAGTATCCAAAAAGTGAGCAAAATAAAGAATTGGGAAAGCAGTTCCAGGGGTCAGCATGCTCAGAGGTTGGCCCCCTAGTAATTATATATTTTACACTATATAAAATATATATATTGACACAAAGTGTGCATTCAATAAACAAAATATAAAGTTCAATAATTTTACAAGAGCAAAGCATTTTAATAAGTAAGTAAATACTTTAAAACTTTATATATACAAAGCCAGAATATATCGCACAAGTATCCAAAAAGTGAGCAAAATAAATAATTGGGAAAGCAGCTCCAGGGGTCAGTATGCTCACAGATTGGCCCCCTAGTAATTATATATTTCACACTATATAAAATATATATATATATATCGTCACAAAGTTTGCATTCAATAGTCAAAATACAAAGTTCAGTAATTTTTAAAGAGCAAAACATTTTAATAAGTAGGTAAATATTTTAAAACTTCATATATACAAAGCTAGAATATATCACACAAGTATCCAAAAAGTGTGCAAAATAAAGAATTGGGAAAGCAGTTCCAGGGGTCAGCTTGCTCAGAGGTTGGCCCCCTAGCAATTATATATTTTACTCTATATAAAATATACACAAAGTGTGCATTCAATAAACAAAATACAAAGTTCAGTAATTTTAAAAGCGCAAAGAGTTTGCATTTTAATATGTAAATATTTTACAGTAATTTTAAATGAGCAAAACATTTGCATTTTAATTAATTTAAATAAAGAACGAAAATTTTTAAGTATTGTTATTAAAAAATTCAGAAAAAGAAACTATTTTTTTTTTTGTACAAAAGGTTTGAAAGATAGGTTTGAAGTTTTTTTTTAGAATGACTCATTCAATTCCCTTTATTTGGAACATAACTCATTCTTTTAGAATAAAATGACACATTTAAGCAATCTTAGAAACATAATCCTTCCATTATTTTTTTTAAACTTTGTAATTTTATTCACACATTTATAGAAAATAATATCAGTGTATCATAGGACGTAACTTAAGGCAGCTACTCAAAAAATTATTCCTGATATTGGTTTTCTGTTAGAGCACTAATTAATTGCAAGACTAAAGTTTCACAGCTAACAAAAAATAATCATAAAAGTTATTGAGCTTCATTATTTAAACTGCATGAAATTTATAACTATAATAATAAAAATGAGACACATAAATAATAATTTACTTTTAATAACATAGGGAAATTGCTTATAAAATTATTCTTTTAACTTGCCATGCATAAATATGCCATACCCTATCAATAAACCACTGATGTCCCCCTAATGACTTATAAATGATACATAGATAGTGTAATGCACACTTTCTATTGACAGGCTAAACTAAAAGTCATTGCAAATTGAACAGAGTAAAAATATTTAATTATTAAGCTTCCAATATTTAAAAGTTATGAAAATATTGATCTAATAGTTGTATTAAATTTAATACTAATCTAATATTAAAATTTAATGCAATCTGCTGAAGGGTATAACTTTAAGTACCACAGAATTTTCTGCAAAGATCTAAAAAGATTAAATTCCTCCGATAGTCTCATTTTGTGAATAAATAAAAAAATTAAATGAAAGATTTAATAAATACTTACAGCAACATTAAAGTAATTTGCAATTTTTGAATGAAACAATTAAAATAAAGATTTAATAAATACTTACAGCAACATTGAAGTCATTTGCAATTTTAACTAAGCTTTGCATTATGCCATTTAAGAGTCTATTTCTCAAAGAATAGCTACCATCANATTAGCATTAATGCAACAATTTTTTTGACAAACATTGATTTTAGCAATTGTAAAAAAACTGACTTGTTGGTTTGGTGAAAAAAAATAATTTACAGATTTCTTTGAATGGGAGTACAAAAGCTTTCAGAGAGAGAGAGTGCAATATAAAATCTATTATTAATTATACCCAACTAATTTTCGGATATTTTAATAAAGTTAAAAATGCAAAAACATTTTGACTCATTTTGTCAAAATAAAAAAATACCAATAAAGCATCAAAACAAACTTGAGCCATAAATGGCTCAAGTTTGCCCACGGGCAGAATTTAAAAATAGAAGCAAATATTCTAACCCCTTCTTCCATGTCCACCACAATCTTTGCGTTTCCTAAATTGCGCAGTCGCATAGTCTACATAGAGATCAAAGATTTCTACATTTGTTTAGCAACTATGGGAGAATTTTATGTGGCATTCTAGTTTAACAGGGTTATAATAGAGCAAATTTTGATGCAAGCAAAGTATAGCTAAGTTGATAACATTTTAACTGTTTTGAGACGCATTTCCGTCTAAAAAATGTGGGTATAATGGATGAAATAATTTAAATTAAGAAAATTAGTAAATAATTTAAATTAGTGAAATTAAAAAAATATCTAAGAAAAAAATTTCTAGCTTTTCTTTAAAATTCCCTGATTTTTCCAGGTTTTTATCCAAATTTCCCTGATTTTTCCAGGTTTTTTCCAGCATAAAAAAACTCCCTGATAATTCCAGGTTTTCAAGGTTTTCCAGGTGGGTGGCCACCCTGATATTGTCACAAAGTGTGCATTCAATAAACAAAATACAAAGTTCAGTAATTTTAAAAGCGCAAAGTGTTTGCATTTTAATAAGAAAATATTTTATAGCAATTTTAATGGCGTAAAACATTTGCATTTTAATTAATTTAAATAAAGAACAAAATTTTTTAAGTATCGTTTTAAAAAAATTCAGAAAAAGAAACTATTTTATTTTTTTTGGTACAAAAGGTTTGAAAGATAGGTTTGAAATTTTTTTAAGAATGACTCATTCAATTCCCTTTATTTGGAGCATAACTCATTCTTTTAGAATAAAATGACACATTTAAGCAATCTTAGAAACATAATTCTTCCATTATTTTTTCAAACTTTGTCATTTCATTCACACATTTACACTAAATAATATCAGTGTATCATAGGACGTAAGTTAAGGCAGCTACTCAAAAAATTATTCTTGATATTGGTTTTCTGTTAGAGCACCAATTAATTGCGTGACTAAAGTTTCACAGCTAACAAAAAATAATCATAAAAGTTATTGAGCTTCATTATTTAAATTGCATGAAATTTGTAACTATAATAATAAAAATGGGACTGATAAATAATAATTTATTTTTAATAACATAGGAAAATTGCTTATCAAATTATTCTTTTAAGTTGCCATGCATAAATATGCCATATCCTATCAATAAACCACTGATGTCCCCCTAATGACTTATAAATAATACATATATAGTGTAATGCACACTTTCTATTGACTGGCTAAACTAAAAGTCATTGCAAATTGGACAGAGTAAAAATATTTAATTATTAAGCTTCCAATATTTAAAAGTTTTGAAAATATTAATCTAATAGTTGTATTAAATTTAATACTATTCTAATATTAAAATTTAATACAATCTGTTGAATTGTATAACTTCAAGTACCACAGAATTTTCAGCAAAGATCTAAAAAGATTAAATTCCTCCGATAGTCTCATTTTGTGAATAAAAAATAAAATAAATGAAAGATTTAATAAATACTTACAGCAACATTAAAGTAATTTGCAATTTCTGAATAAAACAATTAAAATAAATATTTAATAAATACTTACAACAACATTAAAATCATTTGCAATTTTTGAATAAAACAATTAAAATAAAGATTTAATAAATACTTACAGCAACATTGAAGTCATTTGCAATTTTAACTAAGCTTTGCATTATGCCATTTAAGAGTCTATTTCTCAAAGAATAGCTACCATCAAAACCATAGCGAAAATGAAAAGCAATACTGTCCACAACAATTAATGAGACCTAAGATTATAAAAAATAGGTTTTTTTAAAAATATATTGGCTCCTTGAATGAACTATATAATATGTGTAGATTATATTTTTAAACAAAACTAAATAAAGGTTAAAAAAAAATACTTGGAAAATAACTAATGCATAAGTGAAAAAAATCATAAATAAATAAAATCTGCCTGATTATTATTAAACATGTTAAATAAGTTTAAAAGATAATACAGTGGTAATAAATAATTAAAAATAAAAGTAAGTACAATGCTTATAAAATTTCTTCATAATTTTACGTTTTCCTTTTAAAAAAAAAATTAGCAAAGAAATTGCGAAAAAGTTAAAAACACATTTCTTTTAAGCCATCTGAGCAATGACAGTTTTCAGCTTCAGACCAGCTTTTTTTAAATTAAAAATACTCTCTTTCTTGTGAGATGATAGAAATCCTTTAGTGACATTTTTTTATATTTAAGAATACCAAACTGGTGTTTATTACATATATATATATATAGATAGATAGATTATTAAGGGTGATGTAGAGTTAGATCAAGTATTATCTTTATACATTTTTCAAGCAGTGCCAAAGCTAAGACAAAAGCTCAGAAAAACATAAAACAATAAAATGTCGTAATTATGTTCTATAAAATACATTTTTTTAAATAAAATGAAATGAAAATTGTTAAAAAAATTTTATTAGTGACTAAAAGAAAATTGCGAATTACATAATATCCACATAATTCTCTTTAGATAAATATGGGAGATAATGGAAATGACTATAGAACACCCTTATAAATCCTTAAACTATGAGTACCGAAAAAAAAGATAGAAAGAAAAAGAAGGCAGTAAAAAATTACAAGAACTACTTAAGCTCTATTCTATTAAGTAAGAACTACCTCAATTCTTATGTGTACCATGGGTTACAAAAAAACATATAAAAGAAATAAAATACAATCAATGTAGCATAGTTCACTGGATATTTATGGCAACTTAAATAGTTCAACTTTAAGGGATTCATGTCACAAAGAAAATCATTGGAAAAGGATGCATAACTTAAATTTACTAGGCAAGAAAATACTGTAACAAACTAACTACGGGCTTTGGAATATTATTTACTAACATTAAATCTGATTAAGTCAGATTTAATGAGGTATTAGGTAGAAGAAAAAAAAAACATTAAGTTTAAATTTTTTTCAAATTGCTTTCTGCTAAAGTTGCTTAACTCATGAAAACATTGCAATAAAAACAATTTGAAACAAAATGCTTGCATATATTTTGTAATATAGTTTTAAGAATAAGAATTTTAAACCTTTGAAATAAAGTTTTATTTAGGTAAAGGTGAAGTAAAGGTAAACATATTTTTATAATTTTGCCAAATATTTTTGAATTACAATTTCTCATTTTAGCCAGTTTTATTAAATTTGTCAGTTGCATATTGAATCAACAACAACACCAACAAACAGAATATTTTAGATACAAAAATTCCAAGATTGAAATCAAATTATTAAGTCATTTTGCAATTTTTAAATTGGTATTAACAATAATGTTAAAATTTAAGAAAGAAAAATTTTAATTTACATACAAATATATTTTAAAAAACAACAAAAATTAAAGAACTTTCTATTTTTAAAAAAATTATAATTTTAATTGAATCCACAAAGTCTGTGCAAAACTAGTTTTTCTTTAATTAATTGGAAAAATAGTAATTAACAATAAGAATTATGCAGACATTTAAAAAGTTTAATTAAGATAAAATGTATTTCAAATAAATTTTTAATTTTAATCATTTGTATAAAATTTTTTATTTGCATGTACTATACATAACAACATTTCAAACGGAAAATTTTAAATGTATTTTAAATTACAAAGAAAGTAACCTGCTAATGTATTACGAATGAACTAATATTAAGAAATATGTGAAGATATTAAAATTTCAAAATAAAAAATTAAAGTTTACATACATGTAAAATTTTGAGAACATAGAGTTTTAACCCATTGACCGTTCTGCACGTAAAAATTCGCATTTTAATCTGCAGTCTTCTCTGCATAGCAAAACCGGTTTTTCCATGTTAATAGATAGTTGAATAGCGTATAGGGGAGAAACATTCTCCCAACTTTACCCTTTTGCTTAACCGCCAGTGGGTTAAATTGGTATCTTCGATTGAGACAGGCTGTTTTCCTCAAAGCATACTAGTTTTCCAATTATTTGACAGATAAAGAATAATAAACAGTAAAAATTTTTGTAGATTTTGAAAAAAAAAAAAAAAAACTGGATGCTTAAAAGATTAGATGAACAAACACAAAATACATTTTAAATATGATTTCATGTTTTAATCATTTGCCATAAATTTTTTATTTATTTAATTTTCTTTCTATTGTCCTAAACTGTCTTAAAGTGTCCAAAACCTTGAACTTTGGTAAAAGGTGAAAAAATTCTGAAAGGTGTAATTATTGTACACATAATTGCATATATTAATAAATACTTGATATTTGTGTACAATTTGCTATAACTTGTTAAAGGAAAATGATATAATGGGAAAATATTTTTGTTTTGAAGCTCCACAATTCATTGAACAACAAAATTGAATACCTTTAAAAAATAATAAATATGCTTTCAATAATGATAAATTATGTTTTTGCACAAGGATAAAGAATGTAATATTAAAAATAATAATAAACTTTTTTAATAAAACAAAATCTTATCTTCATTTTGTTTCTTGCTCAAAAATTAACCTTTTATTTTTCACAATATTTTTTTTTTTTTTAAATTGTGACAATTTTAATAAAAGGATTTCGGACAGCTTAGGGCAGTTTTGGGCAAAGGGGTGTTGGACAGGACCGTTTAAACCGTGGATTAATCCATTCTGTCCTAAACCTTGCCAACTCTGATTTATATACATTTACAAGTATTTGTACAAGGCGGGTTACAATAAAAATACTACAAGAAAATTACTCACATTTTTATGTTGCTCAAGAAACTTATGTAAAACATTTATCTGAGCAATAACTTCTGTATATGATTTACAAGAGTAGTAATGTACTTTTTGTAAAATTTTGTCTATACTAAACTCTAGAATATCAGGACCTATTAATTAAATAAAATATTTAAAATAATGAATAAATTAAATAGATTTAAAACATTAAACAATAATGAAATGTTTTTTTCGAACCTTCTAAACCAGCTTTATACTTGTTAATGGAGCCATTAGCTATTTGCACCAGCCTTTGAACAATAAAGCTTCCTTCTGTATCAATATAAAATGCTTCACCGCTTAAACCACTGATTGACTTCGGGATTTGAACATTCGTGCACAGTTGCATGCTAAAATGGATGTAATAAGATTTAATTTACATTTTCAATACAAAATTCATACATTTTAAAAAGGATATGACAATAAGTCTTAATTTATAAAAAAAAGTCGAAAATTGTCATAAATTTTTTATATAAAATAAAAATGTTGTAACATAGAATATGCTAAATATACAGCATTGAGAAAAAAATAATTATCTATCTCATATGTCACAAAATGTTTTAAAAAAATATATAATGTAATGATAAGCTACATTTTAATATGGAGACCATCTTTACAGTTAAAAACTTCACCTCCCAAGTAGAAAATAAAATTATTCCGTAATTTGTTCTGTTACCTTGTGGAAATTTTGGAATCATGCTCAGCGCGTGTAAAGAAACAATACTAAGGAATAGTTTGATGCTTTGAAAAAACATGCAAAAATATTGCTCGAAATCTTTTAGTATAACTTTGATACTCTTAGGAAATTATTATTGGAGTTATTTCTTACCTAACTTCTGATATGTTCAATTTTTTTAGCATTGCAAGGTAATATGCATTATTATGTGTGCATGCATTAGGAATTTTAGAAACACTGATAACATTTTATTCCTTATATTACTTCAAATACACTAATATCCTGAATATTTCAGAGCAAAATTTCTTTCTCTACACTTTATGTGTTTTCACAAGCATTGCTAACATAAAGAAATATAATACTTGTACAGATTATATATTCTGAATAAAATTTTTCTGCTTATTATTTGTGTTGTCAAAATTCATTTTTCTTCATACTAAACTAATCCTATAGCAAATACAGCAACGGCAAATAAGAGTTTTTAATTGATATTCTACCTTATACATACTTACTCATAAAAATAGATTTTTCTTTGAGACTTTGTATATAAACCTATGCAATAATTACTTACTTTACTTAGTAGAATAACCCTAAGCCATTTTTGGTTTAAGTCAGGGTTGGCAAGATTTTGCCGCAGGTGGAAAAAACCATGGTAAATACCGGTAAAAACCGTCCGGGCAAAAACAGGTTTTTGCCAAGCAAATTGGCAAAAACCTATATTTTCCAAGATGAGAGGACAAAAACACATTTTTGATACAAAATTATTCCTAAAATTGAAATATATACTATAAATATAAATAATTACAAAAAAATTAACAAAATTATTATTCCATAATTAAATGATAATGTAATAATATATCATTTTAGTAGTTTAAAACATTATTGATTGGAAAATTTGTGATTATTCTCTTTTTTCCAGTGAAATGAACTTATTTTAAATTAATATAACTATAATTTAAAGCATAAAATATCTATCAACATGTGTAGTTAATTATTGTACAAATAATAATTTTTTATAATAAATAATAATATTATACAAATAATAATATTTATTTATTTGTAAAAAAACATTTATTTTAGGATTCTAAAATGAAAAGAGATCAAAAACTTTCAATCTTTTAAAAATTATTACCCTTATATTAATTATTAATATGTTAAAAATAATTTTTTCATGTAATGTATCAAAATTATTATTCCTTATGATTGATTTAAATTTGTTTCAAGTATTTTGTAATAATATTTAATCAGCAATTTAGATAATTTGGTTTTTGCCGGTTTTTACCAGTTTTTGCCGGTTTTTACCAGGTTTTTGCCACTGTCCTGGCAAAATCCCCTTTTTGCCGGCAAAAACTCCAACCCTGGTTTAAGTATTACTAAAAAGCACTTATCAAACAAATCTTTCTCCAATTCTTAAATTATCTAACATTACATTTTGTCATTACCTAAACAATTTTGAATAACATGCTTAGTTTACAATCAAGTACATTGCTAATTTCATTAATTTATTTATTTTCATATATAAGCACACATTTTACGTACATAAGTTGTAACTTAATTAAAGTTAACAGGCAAGAAAACACTTAATAAAAATAAAAGCTTAAGTAAACATCTGCAATTATATTATTTTATATTAAATATTTAAAATACCATCTATTTACTTTCAAAACTAAGTTACTGACAAAGTGGAAAAATAAAATAGGAAGAATTAAGAAAGTATTTTCCAAGTAGGTGAAACTGATTTCTTTAATCAAATTTTATAGAACATAAAGAACTCAATACAATAATCAAATGCATGAAATTATGTGATTTATCAATTTAATATTAATCAAATTCTATTCTATAAGTGTTTAATAAGGACTTTAAAAATACATTTTATTTCAGCATAGAGTAAAATATTTAAAGAATGCAATTGTATATTTTTCTGTTCTTGAAAATTTGATAACAATAAGCAGGCAGCAATTGCCAGCAATCATACAAACCAGTAATACAATAAGAGTTAGCTACTGATGGCTTGTACCACTAACCATACAAACCAAACCATTAACCACTTTTTTATTAATTATTTACAAATTAAAGAAACAATGCTATTAAGTCAATGTTTTTTTCTTGTAACACACTAAATAAACAAAATATTTCTTTGGTTATAAGGAAGAATTAAAGTGAATAAAAAAATTGCAAAAATAATCTGTGCATGTAGAAACAAGCTACTTATGGGCAATAAAAAACAATACCAAAGTTGTGTTTTTCCAGATCCGGGTGAGCCACAAATTTCTGTAACTTTCTTCAATGGTATTCCACCTTTTAAAATTCTATCAAGTGCTGTGCATGAGGTTGTGATGGGATTCAAAGATTTTTCAACTTTTAATACTTCAAATGCACTCAGACCAAGACTATGAGTAACAGAAAGAGACGAAACTGGGGGAAAGACTAAGTCCAAAACTTCTAGTGCCTCTTCCGCAGACAATCCAGCTTCTGAAACATACAAGAGCATAAAAGAGTTGCTTACCTAGGAATATTCTATTACTCTATTATTATCCTATTACTAATATCGCATGTGAGCCATTTTTCCCCAAAAATATAATTAAGCAGATAAAGATTAAAATTTAAAAAACAAAAGGTATAAGCAAGATTTTATAAGAGCTAGCACAAATTTATCACGACAACTTCAATTTAATTTTTAAAAACTTTATGAAGAGCAATTGTAGTACTGAGTCATTTATATTTGTGGTAACAATAAATAAATTATTTCTTTCAAAAACAGAGAGGATAAGAAATAGTAACTATTCCTATAATTAATACATAACTAGTTCTTGAATGAATATTATAAGAAATGTATTACACATAATACATTTCTTATAATATTCATTCAAGAAATACTATTCTTATGTGACCTGCTTGGAAACCGTAAATAGTTAAATTACTAGAAGTACAGATTGCCTTAAATCTTTTACTATTTAATTAAATTAAAATTAGCAATATATCCTTATTTATTTTATTCTCTTTTGACGACTGTGATTATAAATTAATTAAATGTTACAATTTAGACTAGTGTAATTGTAGGTTAGATTATGTAATGGTAAGATTTTAAAATTTACAACAACAACAACAAAAAATCACATGATAAAATGTAACAAATAATGACAGCCCTGTGTCAGAATTGCGGTAGCATTACAGAATTACGGTAACATTACAGAGGTTTTGCAGAAAGATTTTTCATTTGAGAAAGGGGAAATTTTGGTTTTCCTTTCTGCATAATTTTTCAAAAAATGTTTTTTTTCTTCTTCTTTTCTGCTGAATCTTTTTTTAAAGATGTCTTTCTTGCACATCAGATAGGAAAGAAATAACCATGGTTTTTCAATTCTCATTTGAGATTTTTTAAAAAAAAGGGGGGAAAACAGTAATTACTGGCTTTAGCTAGAATTTCAGAATAATAATATAAAATAAAAAATTCAGAAATCGCAAAAGATTAAAAGATAGTTTGCCCCAGAAATTATGTTTTTTTCTTTTTCCTTAAAGAACACCATATTTTACATACACTTATTTAAGTGTCTCTTTTTTAAAGAGTAATATTTGCGTAATCTTTATTTTGGGAGTTAATACACAGATTTTACAATTTTTAATTTATGTCCGAATTTTATATTTACTATCGTTTAATTTACTTGCGAATTTTAATTTGTGAAATGATCTAAAAAATTCGAAAGAAATAATTAGTGCATTTTTCTACCTACAAAATGCAAGAATATCATGTATAATATAAAAATTAAAAAAATATTACATTTAAATTTTTTATTCTATACTTCAAATTAGCAACTGTAACTTCACGTTTCTATTACTTTAAATTAGTAATTGTTACAATTAAAAGTATCTTAAAGCAAAATTTTAGTTCTAAGGAAATTTGTCGCAGAAAGCTCGAAAAAATTCTGCCACAGGGAATGACAGTTAAAACAAAATATATTTAGTTCAATATCACAAAAACTCAATAAATTTTTAACTTCCTTGATACAATAAAAATCAAAATTATAATTTCTACTCAATACAATTAGTTAAGGAGTATTTCCGTATAGTGACCTGTCGAGACAACTACAATTGCCTAAAAGTCGCACGGATTTTAAGCTTTCAAATTATGTTAAAGGTTTGCCTGAGAGTGGCTACGATAAATATATGTGATATCTTATTTTAAGTTTCTTGGGAGTAACTGCCTAGAAGTTGACATGATTTGATGATTAGTGAGTCACAGATAATGACACAAAAATCTTCATACTGTTTGTCTAAGATAGGTACTCTTCCCATCACAAAGTCTGCGGCAGTCTGGTGCTATGGAAACAAGAAGGAGGCACTTGAGGGAGGGTAGCTTCAAGGATAGCTCGAAGAAAGAGGCCTCGTTTTCTCTCGCCGAAACCAGTCCTAAAGATGGGATCCCGCACTCCTACTTGAAATAATCATACCTCATTACCATAGTCACAGCCACATCTCCAGACGAATGTCTGAAAGAGTACTAGACTTTGACAAACAGTATTATTCTTATTATTTACTTGTAAGCAAATATTGGCATAATTTTATATAGCAATGTTTTAAACAAAGTACTTAAGAGAAACCTACACATGGAAGACGAATTTGTGACTATTCTCCAAGGTTTTTGATTGTCATAGCAAAAATCCAATCCTGGGAGGAAAAATTTTCCATATCATCAAATCAATTAAAACAAAGCAAAGCTAATAATATCCCTCAGATAAATGTGTCATCTAAATTAAAGATCTTAAATTTAAGTATTATTTTTCTAAACTTTTCAAATTTCAAAGTCCTCAGTCATTTTAAAAAGTACTGCGCTGTTGAGTAATTATTCAATCGGTGAAAAATTGTTTCAAACAAAAATTCCCCCCAATATTGCACTAGATGGTTCAATGTCATTTTTAAATTATGTGCTTGTCAAATTACTTTTTAGGATAATATAAAGAATATTGCCGTAATGCATGGAAATGACTAATTTAAAACAAAAATCGTGACTCATATTCAAACCAAAGAAGAAAACTTAAAGATTTTGATAAACATACTCTTTTATTCTTAAATCTTTAATAAATACCAACGCGCTTAGATTTAATAATAATAAAAAATAAAAACTGGCAAAAAAATAGAACAGATTGACAATCCCATACCTTTGGCAAGCTCGTTAGGCTTAAAGTTTGACAAATCCTCGACTGTTAGAAATCCAGAATTACAAAGTTTAAAACGAACACTGGATGATATTGGGAAAGTTGACAAATCTCTAGACATAATGAATTAACTAATAATTACATTTTATTGATTGCATACTTTCGATGCTATATTTTTAATATGAAATAATTATAAATGAAAATTATAAGTTTTTACTATTCCTCTATGGTTTCAACACCACCTAGAATCACATATGTTTGTTTTGAAAGTTCCGCATTAATTCGAAAGACCCGCTGCCGGCTGCCTTATTTTGCTACACAAAAAGTCTGCTTCTGATGGTGATGAGCTTGATAGCTGGTNTATTAACATACTCTTAATATCAAAATGACATACTTTTATTTAAAAACAAATAATAAACATAGCAAAGAAAACATTCATTTTTATTGTTACATTTATAAATATCTAAAAATTCGAAAACATTTTCGCCTAATTTCTTTTTTAAACACAAATCTCCTCTTTTCCAGTGGCTGTTTACGAAATAAATGTAAACACAATCCATCAATGAACCAATTGTTTCATCACACCAAGTACGAGATTACGCGAGAACACAGACAGGCGTGCACAAAATTATTGAAATTTTTATTTTAATTCACAATAAACGCGATAACTTCCCAAATTCTTGCAACCATGAGTGATAGTCAACAGCCAATCACAATGCGAAAAGCCCATTGATCCGACGTTATCATTTCCTTGTTGCCATTCTGTAGTAGAAACTATGGTTTAAAATTAGTTACCAATTCCTTAAAAGATAGAGACCCGATGAGCTTAACAGCCATATTAAGAAAAATATCGATGATGTTTTTCACACTAGGAAGCGCTGCAAGCTCTTTACCGTCTATACTTCTGGGTTACTGTTTCTGGTGTATTTTGATTGTTGTAGTTCATCTACGTCGCACTAGAGCTGCACAATGGACTATTGGCGACGGTCTGGGAAGCATCCCTCAGGGTGATCCGATGACACGCCATCACAATTTTGATCCTCTGCGGAGGGGCCGGTGCCCCTACTTCGGTAGCCCAACGACCTGCACGCGAAGTCGAGCACTTTACGGTAGAATAGTTTAACGAGGAAAAATACCGCGCACCTTCTGTCCCTAAGCAGACCTATCCAAGTGGTCACCCACCTGCAGACTGACAGCAGCCAGTGAGGCTTGACTTCGGTGATCTGCTGGGAACCGTGTCTCAACGATCAGTCCAATGCGGGACTGGTGTATTTTGAAGCCATTTGGCTTAGAACGTGATCATTCCGTTTTGAGATTCTTTTAAATAGTAGTTCTTGCAAACGTTGTATTTATTTATTAATTGTGTTTACAATGAATTCTAAGACTAAATACCACATGAAATTACGGTACGCAAATATCATTTTTTTAATTATAATATTAGTTAAGTAGAAGTTTAGTTAAGTGATTTGATAAAATGTGATTTGATCAATAATAAATATGTAAACTTAACAATTGAAAAAAGAATCGCTATAAAACACTTCTTACCTTGTCAGCAATAAAATGCCAACATTAAAATTTAAACCTGAATTATAATTTATAAACTTAATCTTGCTGTTCGAACAATATGCTAACGCAAGATGATGCACGGATTTCAACAAGAACAAACAGTAATAAACAAATAGAAAAAGGCCAAATCAGGACTGCCAAAAAAGCAAGTTTTTGAAAATCTAGCAACTATGTCACCTTTTTTCACAATATATATCTGAATAACTAAAACAAATTTTCCCCTCAGACTCCCCAAAATTATTTAATTTAATATCTTATACACTATATATCTTATAAAATTACTAACTTTAATATCTTATGAAATACCGTAGATTTGAGCTCAGAAATTATCTAATTTATTTCTTTTACTGAAAACAAAATTATCCGTTTGAAAATATCGCCTCGCAAAAGCCGTAGTAAGCGGTTGCAAACTTTCTAACCTAGTTCCTAGAGCAGGTATGGTTGTTGTCGTAGATAATTTGTGTCACACTGGACCTGCACAATGGGCTATAGGAGACGGTATGGAAACATCCATGAGGAAGATCCGAAGTCAAGCCATCACAATTTTGATCCTCTGCAGAGGGGATGGTATCCCCACTTCGATAGCTCGACGACCTGCACGCGAAGTCGAGCATTCTACGGTAGAACAGTTTAACGAGGACCAATACCGCACACCCTCGGTCCCCACGTAGACTGATCCAATAAGTGGTCACCTACCCGCAGACAGTGATGCTTGACTTGAAAGTAAATGTTTTTTTTGCATACTGTAAGGACGGTCTCTCAGGGAAATTCTGATTGAGAGAGCATTCATGCTGCATGCAAAATATTTACGTGTTTGAATTCGGGTACTAGGTAGGAGAAACGATTGGCGATCGAAATAGGTTACAGCTAGCGTGGAGCGGAACTCTCTACCTTCGGCAATACTGCATGTTTTCACCGTAGCGTGTAGAGAGTTATAAAAGAAGGAAGTGCGTTAGCTTCAGTCTTGATTTTCAAATAGATTAAAAACTTTGAAGTTAGGAAACTATATAGAAAAGAGAACTACAGTTCTGAAAAAAAAAAACGCTGTGGAAATTAAAAATATCCACTTGTTACAAACGAGTATGTTGTATCAATATTTTCATGTAGATGTTTCTGATGCATAAACCCCTTTTTGAGATGGTAGATTAATAGCACTAAATGGATGTAACCTTACAGCAACCTTCTGAAGGAAATTTTTATTTTTATTTTCACGAAAATGTTTTCTAAAAACCGTTTTTTAATAAAGTAATAACATTGAAATTTCAAACCTTTCATCCTAAAAAATGACTGTTAAAACTTTTTTTTAAAAAAAAATTGTCACTTTAGGTAAAACGAAAAAGTGAATGGTAAAACTTGTTTCAGTATTTTTTGTCACAGTTGTTATGATAAGATAAACAGATATAAAAACCTAAAAGTTTTTCCAGGGAAACGAAATAATACAAATGCAAACCTTTTCAGCAGAAATATTATTAAATAATAAAAAAATTTTGTTCAAAAAACCTCAACCAAATGAACGAGCATAATACCTTATTTTTTTATTGTTTTCTGAAGTTCGTGAAACTACTATGCAAAAATTTTCTTTTGAGGTTTCCACGCAGTAACCGAATGGATTTAAAAAATGTAGTAGGTAAAATATTTCTTGTTGATTATCTTTTTATACTGGATACTGCTCAAAATGCTCGTTTATGAAGATAGACACAGATAAAAAGGCGTGGTTATGAAAATGGATACGCCATTTCATTATATTTTTCAAATTTCTCTTATGAAAATTGTTCTTTTTCTAAAGAACTAATTAATGAATTCCAATAAATTTTTAATGTAATATCGTCTGTTCTCCTAAATCACTTTTTTTAAACAAAACTTTGTATGTCAAAAATTGTTTTTACAAGATTGTTGCGTATTCAATTAATTGATAATATTAGTAATAAAATTTTTGTTGTAAGAACTCACAATTTTAAATTACATTTTATCGTTTGGTGTTCTGCATGCAAAGAGATATCCTGCCATCTCAACCATTAAGTCCAGGACTTAATGATAATGATTTTAGTTTTTAAATAAGTAAGGAAAAGTACGAAATTCCTCGTTTAGTTATTAAATTGGGGCTAACGATCAAACGGGAGCATATTTTGCTGTGTCCATTTTCATTAACACACACATCAGTCAGAGTCCACTTTCTTAAATACTTCCCTGATAGCAAATTATTCTGCGGTTTACACATAAACCTTCTAACCTTAAAACGAGATCTGTGACCATCTGCTACATTCTACGCACATCACTTTAATCAAAAACCTTGGAAAACAACCTTCTATATAAAAACCTTATATCGAGATAGACTTAGGGCTTTCAAGGGTGAAAAAAATCCTTTAATAAAGCTAGCCTCAAGGTGAAATTAGATAATTATCCTCAATATTGATAGATTATTTAAAATATTGACAACTGTAAAAAAAAAAAATTTAAATTAGGTACATTGAAAAATATCGTGACGTATCGATATTTTTCAACCATTGCAATAATGTTTTTTTAAAATATAATCTCATGAAATATTAAGTCCTCTCATAAATATCATCAACAATAACATTGCATAAGATAAACAAAATTATCATGAAATCAAGAGTATTACTGTTAACGGCAACAACCAATCACAATCATATTGCAATTATTAAAAACAATAAATATAGAATACGATTGTAACGAGTATTAACAGCAATTATTCACAGTAAATATTTTCATGCTCTAGCTTGTTGGAAATTGTGGATGAATTTTTATTGCAAAAAATCAACCTCAAAAACAAATAGAAATGTTTTTTTTAAAGCAATAAAAACTTACAAGTATTTTTGTACCATATTATATTATGAAAAGGGAAAAAATAAAGTAGCACAATAAAAATTTATTTACACATTGAAGTCTTCAGAAAATTACATAAAAATGTGTAATATCAGTTAGTAATTTAACAAATCTGTAAACAGACATAATGAAACATGTAGGAACAGATACTGGAAAAAAAAATTAAAATAAAATGTTATAAATTTTTGAGTAACTTTTTTTTATGAATAGGAAGTAACAAACAAATATTTCATCATCAAAAAATTACATAATGCATAACCATTTATCAAGCATGTATTAATGTAATCTTAAAATTTCAAAACAATATGCATGTATATTATATTTTGTTCAACCATTTGTTTTCAATGATGTAGCTTGATTACTTCATTTTAATTTTTGGTTTCTTCTCAATAAAAAATATAAAACTTTTAGTATTCATCCATTTCAAAGAAAGAGCGCTTCAAAAATCGCAAACTATTATTGATGCCAACGTTGCTTAATCAATTGTAGTAATAAGGAATATTAGTAGCGGCAATAAGAGGTACAATGTATAGCTGATAAGATTACAGGCTTCTTACTGCACTTCGAAATGGAAAAGAATACAAAATGTTTTATTTAATTATACGTTGCTTATCAATTGTAGTAAAAAGTAATATTAGTAACATCAATAAGAGGTACAATGTATTGATACAATGTACAAATGATGAGATTACAGGTTTCTTACTGCCCTCTGAAATGAAAAAGAATACTAAAATTTTTAATTAATTATAACCATTAATTTATGATTAAAACCGAGAAAAAAACCTTGAATGTACCCAAAAATTGTTTGATATAATTTAATAGCAACAAAAAGAACCAATTTTCAATATTGGCTAAACCAACAATTGAGAGACAGAAATGAATGACTCCTGCGTTCTTTTCATACAAGATTGGAAAGAACTCGGTTTTGCTACAAAAAAAAAATTGTGTAATCTTGAAAACAAGAAACTATATTACCACAAAATAATAAACTAACTGTACAACCACCTATCAAGATTAAATTATTACTCAACCCATCCCCTCACGAAGAGGCTATTCCTAAAGAAAGATCCAAATTGGAGGAACGAAGCAGTTTTTTCCCCCTTCAAAATATCAAGCACAACTACTGTTAAATTTCTGATCTGTCATGTACTTTTTGACACATTTCACCATTTTATAAAACATATACTTCATTTAGCAACTATAATACCATTTTTGACCAAGCTGAAAAATTCTGTAAGTCAATATGGAATATTTATTCCAGGAGGAAGTATTTTTAAAATATTTTTGAAATAAAAAATGGGCTTCCTCTCTAAGATTTTAGAGGTTGCTTCCAAGTGAACAAGCCAGATGAAAAACTGATTCATTGAATGAATTTTCAAAAATATTTTGTATGCGTATTTTTAGATTCTTGGTTCAAAGTTTATTTTTTCTCTAGATATTTTACAGTTTCCATACTTTTCAAAAACCTTATGTAATGGGAGTGATTCATTCTAGACATATTTGGAAGAAAAAAAATCTTCCAAATCCAAATTTCTCCAACAAAAAACTGCTCTTCAGCACTGAAGAAAAGAAATCCATTAAAAGAAACATGAATTTAGTACAGTACAGAACCCGTTATCCGGAAATCAGAAAACCAAAAACCGGAACAAAATTCAATAAATTTTCTCGCCATTTTAAAAAAAAAAAATTTTTTTTTCCTCATAAGATTTTACGATTTTTCTTTCTTTTTTTAAAGATGTTTACCTTACCATCATTTTGGAAATAATCATTAGTGTATTACTTCATCGTTTTTTCTTCTTTTTAAGATTATTTCCCAAATTTTTTTTTTTTAGTTGGGTTTAACAATAAAAATAAGACGGCTTTTTGTATCGATTCAGAAAACCGGAAAAATCAGTTATCCGGAATGGCGATGGTCCCGACCGTTCCAGATAATCGGTTCCCTACTGTAATAATAAAAACATTTTAATAGAAGTGATGGAAATAAAAAAAAATGAAACATTTAGCAACACAAAACATGATATTTTGACACTCAAAATAAATATGAAACAAACTTAAACCAAAAAAATATTTACAAATCTCATAACAGAATATAAAGACATGAAATAATGAGATGAAAAATATATGCCCATAGTCTTTCAATACAAACAACATAATTAAGCAACGAGATCACATTTTGCATGTTTGTAATAGAGACATATCAAATGATTTAGTTTTCTTTTTTTAAAAAAAGAAAAAACTGCATTAATGCTTAGAGTGAATGGAATGACACTGAATATGAAGTCAAACAGGAGCAGGAGTAGGTACACTAAGCAGTGGAGAATCGACCTCCATTTGTTTTGGAATGCATACTGGTTGATGATTTTTCAGCAATTTCTGTATCTCGATAAATGCAGGTTGTATACTTTCATAGTGCTAAAATAAAAAATATATAAGTCAAGACAGAGTGCAAGGCATAAACAAAACATAAGTTAATTGAAATAATCTTTTATTTAATGAATTTTTAAGAATTGGTGGAGCCCGAATCACGCTTTGAAATCTGTGTGCTTGAGATCCTAGGGAAAGCAGCATAAGTTTTTCTCTTTATTGTTTTAGGTCTCAGGGAAAAAGGGAAACATTAATAATTAAAATAGGGCTAGGAAAATTTAGCTCTCGTAGATTAGTAACTAGGACAATCACCAAAATGTAAAATAATGTATACTTGAACTAAATATAGCTTAAAAGACCAGATGTGAATATTAAAATGTGAGAAAGAGCGTTTCGTTTAGAATAGTGAATTAAAAAAAAAAGATTTACAGAACAAGAATAACATAAAGAGATTAGTTGAAGCTTTCTAAGTCACTCATATATATATAACGTTAAAAACATAAAATTCCATATTACATAAAACACTAAAGTAACACTGTATGCAACACATAACTGACTATGTCTCCGGTCTGATAAATTTAATTTAGGATACCGATTTTAAAAGAAAAATCTTTTAATCTTAATGTTTTACTTTAATATAAAATGACCACTCTCTCAACTTTCAATGCAATTTAGAGATTTGAAAAGTGAACTAATACATTGGAAACGGATTCAGTTTTCAGAGAAAGTTCACTTTTTATGAATTAATATTTCTAAAACTAAATACAAAAAAGTTAAAAATTCAAGGATCTATATGCCCACGGGCAATTAATTTTAAACAAAAATAACAATAATAATTAAAACAACAATAATAATTTGCATAGTATGCAGATTATTATGAATTCTTAAAAAACGTCTTTTATAATGAATTTCGAAATTGTTACTGAAAAAATAAAATTAATTAAAATTATATTCACATTTCTAAAAAGTTATATACATATATATATTTACTCCATGGTTATATAGTTAATGACAAAATATAATTATGCTGAATTTTAAAACATTTTTACGCTAAATTTTTAATACATTAAACGTAACAGATAAAAGTCATTATAATCCACTATAACTTTAATAACCTGTGCACATGGTTGCAGTGCCTTCATCACACTATCCAATCGACTGGGTGGAAGTTTCGTATATACGTAAGCCAACAGTTTTAAAATGTGCCCCACAACACTCTCCTTAGCCAGTCCCGTTAGAAAAAACTCGTCAAATACCACCGTGCAGAAGTCTTCAGCAGAAAATTCTTCCAGCAAGTTGGTGACCAAAAAAGAAATCAAACTATTCAGAAACGGATCTTCGAATGCTCTGTCATTCTCACACAAGGCAAGAGTGCCAAGAACTCTCATCAAGCCATGGCGATCTTTCTGTCGAGCTGCAGAATTGAAATCAAAAATATAAATGTTTGTTTTGTACAAGGTTTGATACTTTAAATCAGTTAACTGATTTTGAAAAAAAAAAACATTAAAAANCTATTCAGAAACGGATCTTCGAATGCTCTGTCATTTTCACACAAGGCTAGAGTGCCAAGAACTCTCATCAAGCCATGGCGATCTTTCTGTCGAGCTGCAGAATTGAAATCAAAAATATAAATGTTTGTTTTGTACAAGGTTTGATGATTTAAAACAGTTAACTGATTTTGAAAAAAAAATCATTAAAAATTTTTTTAAATCAAATAATTTAAAAAAAAAACAAAAAAAATTTTTTCTCACTCATTTGAAAAAATTAGAAAACATTTTAATATGAGATGGTTTAAATTTTGTAAAGTTTTTTGTAAGTTAAGTAAATAAGCATAGTTTCATTATTATTTTTTTTTTTTTGTAAATATATTGCTATGTAATAAATTTCAAATAACAAAATGACATAAATACTTGATATACAATAAAATTATAGTACTTTTGCAACACTAGTTGATTTAAAACAGCATTAAAATAATTGTTTTCATAGAAAAAATTGATTTACATCAAATATTCTTTTATAAAATAAAAACTACTACTTAAAATTTAGAAAGCATTTAAATATTAGAATGTTTAAATTTTTATTAATTTACATAATTTTAAATTTTCATTGTAAATATACTGTAGTGATAATAAGATTAAATTAGCAAAAGGACATTAAAACTTGTATAATAAATTGCAACGCTTTAGAAATAACATTTTAAAAATTTTATAATTCAGTTAAATTTTTTGATGGTCAAATAAAATAAAAAAAGAAAATTTAGTGCATTAAAAATCTTAAATGTTTATCTAGAAAATGTTTTTTTCTGTTTGGAAATTAATTATTATATTTTGTAAGATGTTTAATTAACAATACTTAACATTTACTATGTTTCACCTGCATGTGAAGAAAAAAGAGTAGAACAAACTATTCATTTTTATTTTGTCCAATGTGTGGTCTTCTATTGGTGAGTTAAATGATATTTATAGGACGAAACAGCAGTTACAAATGAACTAGAGAACAATAGTAATGACTGAACTAAAAAAAAAGTAGTGGTAAGGAAATTGAGGGGCAACATTATATCTGATGAATAGGAAAAATACAAAAAGGCTGAGGGAAAATTAAATAGATATTTCGACTAGTGTTAACATTAAGCAACAATAATATGTATAATGGATACTTAGCATGTTTTGTAAATACAAAGAAAGTTCATTTTAAACACCTGGCATTAAGGTTGGGGACAAGGGTCAGAAGACATTAAAATTGAGCTTTTAATCATGATATTTAAGATAAAATAAATTTCGTGCCTTTAAAATGTTCAATTAAATAAATATATTAACTTTTAAAAACAAGAAAATATCTTTGTAAAAATATTATCTATATTATATAAAACGCTAATACGTACGTATGTATGTAGGTATCAATAAAACCAATATTTCTTTTCTCGCGCTGGCAACAGTTTTCATTTTTAATTGATTGCATTCGGCGCGCAAAGAGCACGTAGTGAGCAACCAGATAACAATAACCAGAGTGAGCATTATCAGGTTGTTCAATTCAGATTCATGCACTAAAAACATGACAATATTTAATTTAAACTCAATTAGGAATTAATTAATTAATNTTTCTACTACTGTTAACATTAAGCAACAATAATATGTACAATGTATACTTAGCATGTTTTGTAAATACAAAGAAAGTTCACTTTAAACACCTGGCATTAAGGTTGGGGACAAGGGTCAGAAGACATTAAAATTGAGCTTTTAATCATGATATTTAAGATAAAATAAATGTAATGCTTTTGAATTGTTCGATTAAATAAATATATTAACTTTTAAAAACAAGAAAATATTTTTGTAAAAATATTATCTTACATAAAAGCAAAAGGCACTTCACATTTTCTAGAGAACGGCATATCATTTTTAATTAAATAAGCAACTAAATTTACTCTTTTAAAGAACATTCAGTAAAAATAAAATTTTCCAACTTAAAGTATGTGTTCTGAAAATATTTACTTTGTCTTCTGATAATTGTTATAAAACATAAATAAAAAAATTATGAATCAAGAACTAGATAAAATTTAAAAATTCATAATATTACCTATTTTATTAACAGAACCACAACAGTTATGTAGACAAAATGTATTTCATTCAAGATTAAAAGCAAAAACTAATTTACGCCGGCAGATTAATTTATCCAATAATGCTTTACTGCATAGTAAAGAAAAATAAAAAATAGTGACAGAAAGAATATTCTATTTTCTAATTTTAATGAAACTGAGAAAATATGTTACACGTGAATTTTTTCAAAAAATAAGTCAATATAAGTCAGTCAAATAAGTCAATATAGGTTGAACAAGATTGGCTATTGTTTGTTGCAATGAGTTTTAAAATTGGATATTTTGCAAGCTTTCTACTGTATTTTTTCAGGATTAAGCTAAAAATACAAAAACTCTAAGTCAATTTTTTGATTCTTTTTCTTTTTTTTTAAAACCAAAATTCAATTACCTTCATGCAATTATGCCATTATTCTTGTCGTTTATCAAGCATTTTGTCGTTTATCAAGATATTTATGATTGGTCTTTGAATGAATTTAAAATATTGACAAAGGTGATGTTTTAACACCATAATACAATGAAATATCAAAATGTAACAATGATTATTAAAATCATAAAAAAAAGAACAACTTTTTAGTCCGAATTATTGACCTTATTCTACTTACAAAAATAGCAGTGTAATTTTAAGTTCTTGGAAGTCCTATAATTGCAATGTTTATATTTATAAAAAATTGAAATGCAAAACTTAAATTTTCAAATATAATTGTTGTAAAATTCAAAACAAAAAGAAAATTATTTAATTTAGTTATTGAAAAAACAAAGCAATGCTCTCCATCAAGCAAAAGCAATCCTTCTATTAAACAAAGAAAAAAAAAATGAAATAATTGTCAAGCCTGAAACAAGATAAATAACTTCATTTTGAATAATGCATTGTCTTTGAATGATATATCTCTTTTAATGCCACAAAACATCTTGCAATAATTTTAATGATGTTTTTATGGAAATAATTTAGCCAATTTCTAAATAAAAAATCCAGATGAAATATAATTTTTTTTTACCATTCTGTAGTGTGTAATACATAGCTAACACTGAAGCAACACCATTTTCTTGTATGTATGCCTGATATGCATCGGGGGGTGGACCAAAGTGCTCAATAGTAGTGATGGCAGACTCTCTATCATCCTGAGGCAATTTAGCATTGATAGCTCGAATCTTTAAAAAGCAAAATGTCTTTAGTAAAGTTACAAAACGTTTAATACATAAAAAGAGTCATAAGGTCTTTTTATGTATTAAAAATTTGTATTAATACATAAAAAAGAGTCACAAGGTAATAAATTACCTGGTCATCTACGATGAGTGACATCAGAGATGGTAGGAATTTAGTCACAAGTTGAGCATCCTGAAATACACAATTATTTTGAATGCAAACTTTTTAATAAGTTATACAGTTTAGAATAGTTATACTAGACAAGAAAAATATAGTAGCCACGCTTAATATTTTAAAAAATACTAAAATTACCAGGATTTTAAGAAAATGAGGGACTCATAACATGATGATAATAATGTTAGTTATTAATATACTAAAAAGAATATTTATGATTAAGAACACATGTCAGCCTTTAACAGCTTTAAAATATAACACAGTGAAACAAAAATATATTTATTAACTAGTTTTTAAAAGCATTAGAATCATTGCCTCACAAAGGTGCAATTTTTTTACACTGAGGGTTTAAAAAAATAAGCATTATTTGCGTATGAAGTTCATTTTACCATAAGTTTTTATTCCCATACCATTAAAATAACATTACATATTCCTTAAGTATCCCATGAGAGGAAATTAAAACACAAATCAATACGTTTTTAGAAAATAACTTAATTGTATGAATTTAAATGAAGAAATGAAACTGTCAGCTAGAGACTTAACCAACTCACTACTTCAGTTTCTTTTTACACACTGAAGATCTTCTCTCAATTTACTCAAATTTGATTTACGGTTTAATTGGAACATGTCCTCTGTTTTGACCCAAATAATACTGCCATTTAAATCGATCTGAAACTTTCCGAATCGCTATGAGAGAGGTAATAATATGAATTGTGTTTAAAGCTTTTTTGTCAAATAAAAAATCCGTTTAAAGATAAGAAGATCAAAAGGTCAGTAAAATTAAAGATCAGTAGATAAAATTTTATTCTCCTCACATAATAAAATACAAATTTTAAAAACTTATATTTTAATAACCACCTTTTAATAGTTAATTAATAAAACAGGTAATAAAACTACAAATATATCAATATCCAAATACAAAGTTTTATTGTATAAATTTATACTATTTGGTTTAATTTATAAATAATGTTATGAGAATTTCAATTTTTTCGTTAAATTTTGTAAACTGAAGAATACTAGCTCACTTAATGTAGATAAAAAAAGAACTTTTCTTATATACCATAATCAACTAATAATAGATTTTTTAAAAAAATATGATTATGAAATTTTTTTGTTAATAATTTAAAAGAAATTGTGCATAAAATTTCACAATATCAAGAAATATTTAACTAAATTTAAAACAAGTATTTTTTTTTCAATATACGAAAAGAAAATATGTTAAAACAAAAATTCAAATATATAAAGAGGTGCATATAAATAAAATGCATAGAAATTAAAAGTAACCGTAACATAATTACCAGTTTAGGTTCTTTAAATATCTGAGTACTAATCATTTCCCATGCCTGTAAGCCCAATGCCAGCATACGAAGCAATAAAACTAAAACAGCATTTTCCTTTAAAATAAAAATAAGTTAAAATTGAAAGCTGTATTGTAATGATTAAACATAACTATAAAAACTCTAATGAATCATAAAAATAAGAATAATTAGCAATATTACAAATGGGGAAAAAAGAGTCCTTTAGCCATGACACAATTTACATTTTATTGCAAAACTATATTTATTGCATTGCAATATTCTAAATCGCCACCCCACCCCCATTGTTGCTTTCTACTTTTGAACTCCCTGATAAAAATTATCAATCAAAATAAGAACAAAAACTCTTAAGTGTAAGCTTAAATGAAATTTTCTTTTTTACAATTTTTTTAAGAGTAACATGATAAAAATATTGTCCAAAAATTTTAACTTGATCAGTTAAATACTAATGTTATGCAAAAGTATAATATATTGATAAAGATGATTCCAAAATTTATAACTGAAACACGTTTATCTCAAAACAGGACTTTTAGATGAGGCAACCAAGATTTTTTGGGAGTAGTTAAACTTAAATAATTAAACTACATTCACAGTTCACATTTTAATTGTAATGTCTACATTGTTGATGATGTATGCCTGTTTAGGCAGAGCAGGTGCGATTGTTCTTGTTTTCCAGTGGCGCCACCTATGGCCAAGAATTCGACATCTGCCACATCATACGTCACACCCGTTAATAGGGCGGACCCATTCATACATCCATTTATTCATCCACAGATCGTAATTTTGACCTGAATCAAAGAACGATCAATTTCCAATCCAGTACCCCCAGAGGTATTGATTCGTTATGGGAACATGGAGGACTTTTGCGACTCGACAGATTTAACGTGCATCAGTCACTTTACTACACGGGGAGTCTTCGGCCGGCGGGGTTCGAACCCACAAACTCTCGGACATGGGCCCAGCACCCTACCGACCAGGCTATCTATGTCTACATTAAATATATTAATTGAATTTTTTTTTAAACAAATCAGTATCTTAGAATGGTGAAACTTCAGCTAAGTTATGCCATACAATCATTTTACAATTTATATTCTTTACCAAATTTATATTCCAGATTAAATTTTTGAGAGAATGCCTAAATTATATTTTTGAATTATTAACACAGAATTTTTTTTCAGCAAACAATATAGCTCATTTAGAAATCTAAAATATCATATAAAAATAGTTTTATTTATTTGATTAATATTGTGATGAAGTAATAAAATTTCCTCAGTGAGATAGTGTGATGAGATTGATTACGTATGAGAATTTTTTGAGCAAAGAAAGAAAGTAGAATCATACTTCAAACTTGCACCAATAATTTTATTCCCAGAATATAAAATAAAAAAATAATTTAATATTTCCTTTCCATCAGCCCATTAAAAATATGCATATAATCTGTTTTTTAACAACTGTCGCTTTAACTAAATATTAAAAATCTATTCATTTCACAAACAAAATAAAATAACTCACCCTAGCATACCCTTCTTGACTTATGAGATATGTTATAATTTTTAAAGCTGATGTTGCTAGAAAATTAACTGCATAAGGATCACAGAGAGTCATAGATAAATCCCTAAAATAAGAAATATAATTCATAAGAACTCAGCACATATTGTTACATAAAAAGAGAAAGAGATAACAATTCGAAAGAAATTTTACCCCAGAACTTGCTCATTTCCCCTTTTGATGCTATCCAAAAATCCTTGAAGTTCTCTTGAGCGTTTGACATCAACGTTTTTTTCCCGAATACAGGCATCTAGGCACCAGGTAAATTTATGGCAAGGATCCACATGAGTAATTTCCTGGATCTAAAAACAACAGTTGGTAGATTAATTTTTATATAAGCAGTTTTAACAAAATTTAAGACATGCATAATGAAAAGAAAAAATTAAAAAATCTTTTTTATCCACTATCTTGAAATTTCTACTTAAATAATTTAAAAGTGTGTCATCTGAGGTAGGTATTTTGTTTACATCGCACTAGAGGCAAATAATGTTTTACTGGCGACGGTCGGAAAAACATTTCTTGAGGATGATCCGAAGGCATGCCATCCCAATTTTGATCCTCTGAAGAGGGGATGACCCCCAGGCTTTGGCAGCCTGTTCAGCTGCGAGCGAAATCGAGCACTTCAGGGTGGAACAGTCTAACGAGGATTGATACCATGCACCCTTTGTACCTACGCAGGCTGATCAAAGTGGCCACCCACCCGTTTACTGACAGCATCCAGTGATGCTTGACTTCGATGTTCTACTGCGGTGCTTTATGATAAGTTCACTGGAGGACTGAAAATTTGAGAAAAATTTCAATGGTGAATTTTGAACTTTTATAAATCTCGCCAAAGTGGTTTCCAAAGCGTGATTTTGAACTGAAAATTTTTATTATAATTCTATTTATATAGTTACTATGTCTGAATTTTACCATAAGCAAATCAAAATATTGTGAAAGAGACCGATTAACTTAAATTATCTGTAAAAAATTTTTTAAACTTATTATCAATAGTAATTTTCTTATTTTTAAGTAAAGCTTCTTATAGTTAAAATCATTGTGAAACTTAACATTCATATCTTTAGATAAATATGTTAAAAGTGTTGTCTAATATTTGGCATTAATTTACATTCAAACAGCAAATTGCATGTCAAAAAGTGCTTTTATAATATAATTAAAATGTTCAAACAGGTTTTTAAATATTATTTAATTAGAATCCAATTTCTGTATATTGTTTTTTTCCACATTCTCTTGACTTCAGTGTTTCACTGCGTCTTTACCATCAGTCCACTATGGGACATATATAGTCTTAAGACAAGAAAGAATACAAAACTATTTAGACATTCAATTTTAGAAAGATCAACAAAAAATATTGGGGAGTTTTAATATAGGAGTATTTAAATGTAATCTTTATAATGAATGAAAGATTGTGGCCTTTTTTTAAAATAACAGTTCCTTTCACTAAGAACAAAAATTACCTAAAATATGTAATTTTAAACAAAATGATTATTTATAATTTATTACGCTATAATAAGAAGTGATTAATATATCCTCAGTATAATGAATTACTAATATGTTGTTCTCTTTAAAAGAAATGTTTCAGAAAAAAAATAGAGAAATAGTATTAAGATGGTACAAAAATTAGGAAGATGACCTAAAAATAGGATAAATTGGCTACTCACTAAGCAAAACCAAATTCTATAAAATTTTTAGAAATTTTTTTTATAAGTTTTTGACTTTTAGAATTTGAAATTATAAATAATACTTCTGTAACTTTGTATAATACTTTAGGTAATTTACATTACCTCTAAATCATGAAGAGCCATAAGTAATTCAGATCTCAAGGTGCAGTAATGTACATTCTTTGTCCTTAAGAAAAGTGTTCTTAAGAATTGCAGGACCATGTCATAAAGTTTCACGTTATGTCCGATCATCGTCAACAATTTTTGGATGACATCACCCTGTCTTCTTTGTTTGGGGGAGGGAGCAAAAAACTGGGAAATAGGCTCTGAATGCTTAAAAAGCAAATCTTCTTTTTCTTTTATGTACTGGCTAAGAAGAGGCAAAACTTCATCCCCAAACAGCGATTGGTTATCTTGCCATATTTGTCGCTTAACCTGCGTAAAAATAAAATAATTATTATAAGTTTGCTTCGTATATCAGTATATTCAATGTAAATTTAAATTATATAAAGATTTAAATAATATGAAGAAGATTTAAATAACATTTAAAGCTTCCGCTTAAACAATAGATTGGTTCTCTTAATGCATAAGCACAACATACAACACTGAAGCCTTATAATTTTGAACCCAATGCAAAAGACAAGAACTCCTGAATCAAGCAATGGAACAAAATAGCCACGATGGAGGACTTTTCTATGGAACTAACCCACATTTGTGTCACATGGGAAAAAAAAACAATTAAATACTCCCACAGTTACCCATTACAACATGGGATTCTAAATTTCAATATGACTAAGGGGAAAGAAATGCTTGTGATTCTCATTTAATAATGTAAAAAGTTTGTAATAGCTTCAGCTAGCATTTCAAATTGATAATAAGTAAAAAAAAAATAAAAATTCTGTAATCATGAAAGTTTAAAAGATAGTTTGCAGTAGAAATGACATTCTTTCTTTCATTGCCCCCCCCCACAATTTGTATCTAAATAGAATATGACTGCGAGTGGGGACTTTTTTAAAAAAAAAATAAAATTAATTAATCAAAGCAGTACATTTGTCCTTCTTTTCAAAATTCGGTCAAAATAAAACAAATTCAGTGTTTATTTGATATAGTCCACATGAAAATTTTAAATTGTGCACTTAAGTCGCCATTTTATCACTCAGAACCTGTGCTGATTCCATTGTTAATACAATACTTAGATCACTTAGTAGTAGTTAGATCACTTAGGTAGTACTTAGATCATTTTTTTCGGCAATTATTCCAACAAATTTTTGCTTCTTTTCTGAAAAATCATGATGTTTTTCATACCTCAGTTATTCTTATTGATATTTTCATAATTTTTTAAAAAATACCTAAATTATAATAGTACACGAAGTTTAATCGTGGGTGCAAGAAATCACTCTTTGATACACTTGGTTTGCGTTGATATCATAATCAATCCACGCAGTGTTTCAATCATTTTTTTCCGACATTATTGCTATAAATTTTCACATCTAAAAAAAATCCCAATGTTTTTTATACAATTTTAATGTGATGTATTTCGTTGATTAATAAAATTTTGTGTAGTAGTATTTTAAATAATACTATAAAAAAATAAAATTACAATAAAAAACTTAAAATCATGAAGAAATTAAAACTCACAATTTTTACAAACTTAATGAAAATTACTACTTAATCTGGTACAACCATCCCACTCAAAATACACTAATGAAATTCTCAATTTTTAAATGTATATTGAATATGAATTTTTATTTTGATGAAAAAATATTGATGAAGCAGCATTGGAAAACATTTTGTAAAAGAATTGGCAAGGTTTAGGACAGAATGGATTAATCTACAGTTTAAACAGTCCTGTCCAAAACTGGCTTAAACTGTCCAAAAACCTGTTATTCAAATTATGTCACAATTTTAACAAAAATATTGCGAAAAATAAAAGGTTAAATTTTGAATAAGAAACAGAATGAAAAAAAATTTATGTTTCATTAAAATTTTTTTTTGTTATTTTTAATATTGCATTATATATATCCTTATGCAAAAACATAATTTATCAGTTTTAAAAGCACATTTATTCGTATTTAAAAGCTATGGCATTCACTTTTGTTATTCATTGAATTGGCAGCTTCAAAAGTTAGAAATCTTTTTCAATAATATTAAATAATTTTCCTTTAATAAGTTAAAGCAAATTGTATAAAAAGTATAAAATATTTATTAATATATGTGTACAATGGTTACACATATAGAATTTTTACCTTTTACCAATGTTCAAGGTATTGGACACTTTAAGACAGTTTTAGTCGGTTTAGGACAGCTTAAAACAGTAAAACCCAAGTGTCCTATCCAAAACTAGTTTAGGATGTCCAAAACCCATAACCTGTTTTATAATAAAAGAAAAAGTTTTTTTCTAAAGCATATGAATTCAACAACAAATTGTTTTTTTATAACAAAAAAAATAATAATAAAGGAACTGTCCAGTCTGTTTTCAAATGGCATTGTCAGAAAAACTTGAAGCCGAATCCAAAAACTCTGGGTCCCAGAACTCACTTATTTAATTGTGTTTTAAAATGAATAAACATTATAAAAATGCACTCACTTGAACATCACATTCATCATAAAGCTGCTTATTGCTAACAAGGTGTTTTAAATACCTTTCTTCAACTCTATCCATATGTTTCAAGATACATAGCACAACAGGTTTTATCTTAGGCACCTAAACAAATAAAAGATTCAATAATGTTTAAAGGATGATTTAATTTTGTAACTAAATTTGTAACTATTTTGTAACTGAAATGCTATCAAGTGGGGATATTTCGGTCTGTGGCAGAATTATCGCCAAGTCTTGGAAACTTCCGGGCAGTGGCCCGCGAGAAACTAAGAAAAAAAATCACCAGTGTTTTCATCATAGAAAAAAAATGGGTCAGAATTTCTCACCCTTTCTCAAAAAGAGATTTCAAAAAGTTAAGTGAGATTTCTAAAAAAACAAAAACTCTTGAAAAAAATATCATTTCTTTAATTATAATACATTGTTAACGCCTTCTATTTTTTAAAGCATTGAATATTTTTGGTGCATCATCATAGAAGATTTTGCCTTTACAAGGTATTTGTCCATCCTACATAAGTGCATAAAAATTTTGAACGTCTTACATGAAGAAACTTTTCCTACGGTAAACGCGTGGTTGCAGAGAAATGTATTCTGAAAGGGGTTCCATGGTTGTGTTCTGTTGTTCGAAGAGGTTCTGAACAATACTGGTAAATAGGGAAGCTAGATAATGGGGCAGATGTTGAAAATAATGAAAGATCCAGGAAGAAAAGATAAACGGATTTTATTCTAAATGGCGTAATTCGAAGTTTTTACCAAAATGCGAGAAATTCGTGAATTTTGAAATTGATTTATAGAATGTGCGAATTTTTCGCGGTAATCATTTTTTGATGCGAGAAAAGAAAAAAATATGTGAGATTCTCGCGTTGTAGTGAAAACACTGATCAGAGAAAGGGACCAACTGGAAAGGTACAACTAATAGCCACCTCCGGGCAAACATCTATATGTTTTTTGTTGTTGTTAAAATTGCAAGTTTAAAACCTATTAGGCATCTTGGCGATCGTAGTTGGGGAGACAGATCACAAAACAGAAATATCCCCCATCAAGAGATATAATAATGTAATATCTGTAACGACAAAGTTATTCTCAAATTTAGAAAAAAAATTTATGAGTTAATACGAAGAGAATTCTGTATCATGATCAGTGGCAAAATAATAGCCAAGTTTTGGCAACTTCAAGGCAGCGGCTCACAAGAAACTAACAAAAAACATCACAGAAAGGGACCATCTCGAAAGGTATAACTAGTAGCCACTCTTGGACACACTGTTTGTCTACGATAGGTACTCTGCCAGACATTCGACTGGAGTAGTGGCGGTGACTATGGTAACGAGGTATGATTATTTCTTGTAGGCATGCGGGGTCCCTCTTTAGGACTGGTTTCAGCGAAAGAAAAGGAGACCTCTTCATCGAAGCTACCCTCCCTAAAATGCCCTCTTCTTGTTTCCATCGCACCAGACTGCCGCAGACTTAGTGGCGGTCAGAGTACCTATCTCAGACAAACAGTACATCTGACTTGTTTTACTTTTCTTAAATGTGCAAGTTTAAAATCTATTTTCTACCTTGGCGATGGTAGTTGACTCTACTGATCACGATATGGAAGTATCCCCGTTAATGCATGAAAAATAACCACTTACATTGATTAATATAAAACTTTTTTGGAGAAGTTCTTTCAGTTTCCTTTCCCTCTCTCTTCCATCATGTTTGGATAGATTTTCAATTTGAGCTATTAAAGTATCTTTTAATTCTTCCAGAACAGAAAGATGAAACTCTTGACGAGGAACACCGTGGCGGTCAAGAAGAGGCAACATTGGTCTCAGAGAGGGAAGGAGAATGCCATTTTCTGTTTGAAAATCTTCAATGGCCTTTAAAGGATCAGCACAATTTGTCAGAGAGTCTCTTAAATAATCTTTACCGGGTATTCCCACTTCTTCTAGTCCAGACATGTTTTCAACTTAAAAACAATGATGAAGCTAATGATATGTGTGCCCCACACGTGCTAAGGTTTCGTTATTTCATCAATACCAAAAAGGATCTTGTTAGTTAAGATCTGTAAAAAAAATATTTTCGTTATTTAAAATCCTTAATTTAATGATGAGAATTCAGAATGGTCTTAAAAATGGAATAAAATAAAATATGATAATATAAATGTAAGTTAAACAATGTTGGTAAGATAAATAATAAAGGTAAGATACCCAATAAAAGCAAGATAAACAACGAAATATAAGTTAAAACAATGTGCACAATCCTTAAATTCTCCTACTTAAATTAAATTATACAAAATCAGATTATAATCATAAACCATATATATATATATATGTATAATGGATAAATAGTTATAAAAATGTTAACAACGCAAGAATTATACCTTGAGTATACCTTGTCTGTTTTAAAGTCGATTAAATACTGTTAATATTTCAATTTAAATACATATACTGTAAAAAAACATTCAGCAGATTTTATAATACATAAATCATAGAATAAATGTTTCAATAAATAGCTCTTAAGATTATATAATTGCGAAATGTTAGTTAAAAAAATAAAGATCACAATTCTTTATTTACAACGGAAACAAACAGCATCGTTTTCGGCTGATTATTTTTGTACTGCGTGATATTTGCTGAATACTCAAATCTGCTGAATAGCCAAATAAAATTTTTTTTTTTCCTTTCCTTTCCGAATACGCCATCTGCATGACTTTCCACATGATAATGGGGAAAGCATGTGAAGTGTTGCCATAGGTAGAGAGTTCTGCTCTACGCAACCTGCATCCCATTTCGATCGCCAATCATCTAGCGTTGTTCTAACCTTTTTACTTCAGTAAAATGTGCGAATAATGAGATCTTTACATAGATTATAACAAATTTGTGATAAAAATACGAAGAAAAAAAAACATTTTCCTTAAAGAGACTATTCAGAGAAAAGACCGGTTCCATGTTTTGATACTTCTCTCTCCTTTTTTACTCTGGTACAAAGTTTCATAAATAGCTATATAAGAGTAATCATTTCATGGAGCAAAACTTTTAAGTTTAGCCAGGAATTCAAAATCTACGTAACATAGCTGATTCATAAATTAAGTTCTATAAATTAAAGCGTTCTTAAGCAAAAGCTTACTAATTAAAGAAGCATAATCTATACTAACAATTTTCTACTTCAACTAAAAAGCTAAGCTTTAAATACAGAGAAAATATTAAGTTTTTCTGCGTTTTGTTAATGACAATCAAGTACTCAATACATGTATAGTTTTAAAATTGAAAAAACTCAAACAAATTATTAATTTTAAAACAAGTTATTAAAGAGAAAATTAGTTAATTCTTGCATCTGTACCATAAACTTTATGAGAAGACACATTTTAAATTATAAAAATCAGGGTCTTTTTTTTATCGTAAAATTTCATTTTTATTGAGAAATGTTCAATTGAAACATATATACTATTAGTCTACGATAGGTACTCTGTCCGCTATTCGTCTGGAGTGGTGGCGGTGACTATGCTGGAATGCTGGAAATGGGAGTAATCTCGGCCTTTGGCGCGAAGCGCCACTTACCGATTCATCTAAACTGTAGTTGTCTTAACTTGAAAAATCGAAATTTCAAGGCTAAATAAAATTCAAAGAGTTCACCACAGCCTAATACTGTGGTAGTCTTGTGTGGAGATGACTTGTAGGCACTAATTCTGGGACTCAGGGAGGAGGGAGCGAAGCAGCTTAACAAGCTCTTCGTCTTTGAGTAGCTCTTTCATCTCTTGGAAAATTCTGAGGAATCTGGTAGCAGAGCGGTGACTATGGTAACGAGGTATGATTATTTCAAGTAGGGGTGCGGGGTCCCTCTCTAAGACTGGTTTCGGTGGGAGGTGGGGGAAAAGGAGACTTCTTTCTTCGCGCCAGAAACATCGTTTAGAGCGTTTGATTCCTTTTTTTTAATCTTTTCTCTTTTTCAAAAGCTTCTGTTTTAGAAAAAAAAAAATTCAAAAGATTTGTTTGTCAAAAGATTGTGTTGTAAATTTTTTATTTTATTTTTCCTCTTTTAACTTTTTTGAATTTTGAGAAATGCCTTTTAAATTTAAAAAAGGTGAAGTTCTGAAATCACAAGCACGTAAAATTGTGCACAATGTGTTTGAGTTATTTTAAGAGATATTTAATGTTTATATTTAATGATGTTTATCTCTCTATTCTAAAAAAAAGTTTTTGCAGTTAATTTTGTCCCCTGAAAAACTTTTTAACTACGTGATGAAAATCTAAGATTAAGGAATCAATTCCTTCAGAATCTTTCAGGGAAGACATTTAAGGCATTCAAATTTTTTACATAATTTTAAATTTTTATTTATTTTAGTTTTAAAGCACGATTTTGCAGTTAATAATGAAGAATAACCGCCGTTCACAACAGCCAATCACATGTCTGAAAACGGCAAGCTTAAAAAAGCGATTTACAAGTCTGAATTTTCTTTTTCAGAGATGCAACCAATCACAAAATAGTTAGAATTTCATTCTTCAGTTTTACAACATCTCAACTTATTTCGTATTGATATATTGATTAATCTGATTATTTGTTTTCTAAAACGTTAATTCGTAAGTTTAATCTGGTTTTAAATCTTAATTCGATTTGTTTATTTACAAGTAATGCCTAAAAAGAAAAGACCTAACATTACTAAAAAGTCGCAACTCAATGCGAAAGCTAATCGAAAGCGGGAAAAACGTAAACTTCATAGTATAGAAGAAAATAATGCTCTTTTGCTTATACAACCTAATGATGATTCAACTAACAAAAAAAAAGTTAAACTAACAAAGGTTGAGCTAAAAGAGAATGTGTGTAATTGCTACACAGTCGCAACAACATCGACTTTCATTTGCCCACATCAAACCAGACCTGTAAATACAGAAAATGTGGTTGGAATGCACACTGTACCAATTCGCTTTCGCAATGTTGACAATGATATGGACCAAAATCCTAATCCACCTATTTTAAAATCAAAACAACATGAGTTTGCTGGTGATTTATCGAAATTGTTACCTATCAAAGTGGCAAAACATAGTCTTGGCAAAATGTTTTCAAAATGCAGTTATTGTGGAGCTTTGAGATTTGCTTCTGCAAAAGGGCGCTCTGTTAATTCTTGCTGCCATAATGATAACATACATATACCTCCGCTGCATGAATATCCTTTATTTTTGAAAAACTTACTTCTTTCTGATGAGCAAGAAGCAAAATTATTTAGGCAAAATATCCGTGTATACAATTCATCATTTGCGTTTGCCACTTTTAGTGCTAAATTTCTTCAAGATGAAAGCAGAGGTCCACCGTTGATAAAAATTCAAGGACAAGTATATCACCATGCGACAACATCCCTAAATTCAGCAACCAATGCTCCAAGGAATGGACAAATATATATTTATGACAGTGTTGAGGAGGCTATTAAACTACGCATGAATTTAGACAATCTTCAGTTGACAAGGCATATTGAAAAATTATTAAGGGAAGTCAATCCATATGCACAGAAATATCGGATGCTCAGAGATTTAACTATTCATGATAGTGAATTTGTTTTACAATTTCAAAGATTTATATTCGATGATAAAAGAAGATACAATAAACCTACTT